GGAAGCTGAGGTGCCAGTGGTCTGCTGAGTTGGGGGCTCTAGGAAGGGGGACCCACGGGAGTGGGGGATTGGAGAGTTGTCATGGTGTGTAAAGCCATCACAGAAAATCAGCGTAGGAATGGGCAAAATTATTTGACAAAATGGCTTTGATACATTCTCAGTTTTTTTCCTGTCCTCACACCTGAGGGATATGTTGCATTTCTGTTAGTCACTGGTAGTCTGCAAGAGGGGTACAGATACTCACCTTGGTATACGGGAGATTCAGTTGGGCATCCTTGGGGCCTTATATAATCTGGAAGGCCCACGAGTGATTCTGATCTCTCCCCATCCCTTCACTGCACGTTCCTCAGGGAGCACTCTCTAACTTTGCTCCTTAAAGAATTCAGGGAGCATTCTCTAACTTTGCTCCTTAAAGAATCAGGAGCAGCTGCTGACGATGACGGCCCTTTAAAGAGGCGTGTAGTGCACTTGCTGTTTGAGAGGGGGATACTTTGAGGTTTGGGTGACTCAGGGAAGGAAGAAGGAACATTTGAGCATCTTTATTTTGATGAAGTTATATTTGAACTGCTGGTTAAAAAGCATGTATAATAGAAGGGTGGTTAGAATTTTACTGTAGTAATTTTTTGTAATTCTGCAAGAACAGTAATGCTATTAAAATAGAACTTATGCACCTTTTAGGAGACACTCAGAATGGTGTGGTCGACGTGTAATTCTCACATTTCAGCTGATAGGTTTTGTCAGCCTCAACAGGGGTGTCACAGGGGTGTCACTTTTGTCTATTGTCTCATTTGAACCTCATGCCATTCTGTGAATTCAGTGTGGCATAATCCCCATTTTTAATAAGGGACTCACCTACCGACTGGAGGAGGTCTTGTGACTCCAAATCTGAATACGCCACACATCCTTGTAGTTAAATGGGCTTGTTTAACTCCAGAGGGAGGTGCCGGCTCCTGGCTCCCAGTTCAGCGAATCACAGAACCTCATCTCTGAGAGACCTGAGAGGCAGGTAAAATACACTCTAGTTTTTCTGACCTCTAGCTGAAATCAGAAAAGTAATTTTTGACATGTAAATACAATAAGAGTGTTAGCTCTGCCTGCCAGGTGAGCAGTCATGACTCAGGTGGCACCAATTCCGATGGACCATATGGGTAGGCGTATTAGTACCCAGGAGCCAGTTGGCTCAGTCCAGGCACCCCTCCCCCGGGCTGTTAACCTTCACTCCTTCCATGGTGGCTTCATGACAGAATACGCCGGAAAACACCAGAACTCTCTGGAAGCAGAACACTGTTCCACTCACTCCCATGACCTCTTTCTTTTGCTCCCGTGCCTTTGTTAGATTTCTGCAAACGTTTAATCTTCTCAACAAGGCTTTAAGATCCAGACGTATTTTACAGAATAAATACGTAAATAAAAGTCTACCCTGTCCGTATTACCTATTGTTCCAAAACAGTTCCTTTTGGGTATTTTTGATGTTCTCTTGTCTGTCTGTTGTGGTACCTTCCGGGAGGTCCCCCTCTGTGGTCTGCCCTTGCCAGGTTCCACATGAAAGCAGTTTTGCACCAAAATCTTGTGAATTAGGGCTTAGGTTCCTGTTCCTCCCAACCTTACCTCTCTTACCTTGCTCTCTTCTCATCCTCCTTTGTTCTTTTGGTATCTGTGTGCCTGGCACCGTGCCCGGTGCAGAGGGCACAGCAGTGGAACAGGCAGAGTAGTTCCTTACCTTCTTGGAGCACTCTTTGACTCTTAGGCGTGTGGTTAAGACCCTCCTACCTGGTTGATGGTCATCAGGGCCTCTCCAGTTTTATTATGACATCGCTATTATAGTTAGTTGGCTGGGGAAGGCTGGGATAAAGCCATTCTTAGGTACTTTTTACAGAAAAAGTTCTAAGGTGCCTTGTATATGTATGAGTACCTCCTTTATACAAATCTGCTGCCAGCCTACATCTTGTGTAACTTTCCAAAACCTGACTTTAGGGGTATATTGCAGATTGGGGTGGGCATCTAATCTCTTGGTTGACCCCAGCGTTCTAATTGGTTATATGTCTCTACTGACTTTCAGAATTCTTAACATTACCTGATAATGGCAGTAAGCTACAGGCCTGTGCTGGCACTGGGCTCCTGGATCATATGAGTCTGAGCGGTGTAATATTGTTGATCTTATTCCTTTCTGATTTTATCTATGAAAACTGCCTCTCCAGGTCAGGTTGGCGATAGACCGTCACCTTCTGTCTTAACTTTTCTCAGCTACCTCCAGTTCCAGTTCTAGACAATGTGTTTGCCAGCTCTGAAACAACTGGGGATATTAGAAGAGAGAGAAAAGCAGAGATCGGTCACATGTCTGGCATCTGTAGGGTCAGCGTGTTTATTGGTTGGAATTCTGTGGCAGCTCCTGTGGTTGAGCCAACTGTGTTTGAAGCACCTGGATTAGGGACCAGGGTTCGTCAATGTTCTGGAAGGCCCGTTGTAGATTTACTTTATCTCTTTTGCCAGTCTGACCAGAGATTCCTGTTCAGACAAAATAGTAAGTAGGTCGTTGACTTTGTAATATGAGGGGTTTTGAGCAGAACAGGTAAAACTTCATGTCTTATTTTTAAAAAGAGAATAATCAGACTTCAAGCTTGTTTTTTTCAATATAGAAAAATTTCATATTTATTTTTTTAATATAGAAAAACTGCACATTCATTTTTTGCCTCTGTAGGTGTGAATAAGACTATTGGTTTTGGGGCCAGCCTGGTGGCGCAGCGGTTAAGTTCACACGTTCCACTTTGGCGGCCTGGGGTTTGCCGGTTTGGATCCTGGGTGCAGACCTACACACCACTTGTCAAGCCATGCTGTGACAGGTGTCCCACATATAAAGTAGAGGAAGATGGGTACAGATGTTTGCTCAGGGCCAGTCTTCCTTGGCAAAAAAAAAAAGAAGAAGAAGAAGAAAAGACAAGACTATTGGTTTTCATTGTAGGGGAATATGTTCAACAACAACAAAAATTCAAATTTATGAAATCATTACAGTGGAGGGGATATTTTCTGTTTGTAATAAATAATTAAGACATATTACTTGTTATTTCTTAAGGTATTTCCAGTAATACAGAATTGGCTGTAATTGGACTGCTGATGCACCTCACATCTTGCCACTATAATTTGCATCTTTATAATTTGCAAGTTATTTCAATATTTTATACAAATCAGTCATATCTAAGCTTTGTTAAATAGAATAAGCAGATGGGTATGTGTAGAGTTTTATAGTTTAACAAATATTTTTGTATTTTCTCATTTAATCATTATAACATCTCTGAGTCTTAGAGAAGCTGAGTGACCTGGGGTCCCACAGCTCCTGTGTGGCCGGCTGAGGGCTCACACCTGGTTTTTTCCCTTCGAGTCCACTGTCCCCTCCCTATACAATACTGCTTTTATCCAGCTAAGCTTATTTGTAAATACTACATGGCTTAATAGTTATGTCACTGCATTTAAACCTAAATTCGGGTGGTTGTAGGGTCTCTAGCATCCTTTTAGAGGGGCTTGTAGAGCTATTTTTATGTATAGAAGTAGTTCTTTTAAAGTCTTGAAATCTCCATGAAGTTTTTTTTTTTTTTTTTAACTCTGTTAAACCTTGAAAGAATAAACTGAAATTTGGAAAGGTAACTTCTGAAGAAGCTAAGGGGTGAGGGGAGTTAATGGTTAAAATATAAACTGTATCAGTTAGGGGCCAGCCCCATGGCCTAGTGGTTAAGTTCGGTGCACTCCACTTCGGCAGCCAGGGTTTGGTTCCCAGGCACGGACCTACACCACTTGTCAGCAGCCATGCTGTGGCAGCGACCCACATACAAAATAGAGGAAGACTGGCACAGATGTCAGCTCAGGGCAAATTTTCCTCAGCAAAAATAAATAAAAAGTAATGATTTCTTCAAAACAAAACTGTACCAGTTATACTCATTAGTGCCTTGGTTTTAGACATTTTCAGGCTTAAAGGAAATGTTGAGTGAGGTTCCAGCATTTGATACTATACTTTACTCGAGTATTTTTCGGACCTGTGGAATGTGGTACTGGCAGGAACTGATTTTATTCTGTCTTGACCATTTCCTGTAAAGGGTAACTTTAATTCTGTTATATCTGTTCTTGTTCTGTCTCTCTCCCTTTTTTTATTTTTTAAGTGTAACCCTTCTGTTTTACAGTAGTATAACTATTCTATTTAATGCCATAAGGAGGTAGCTTGATCTTGCATACAGTAACAGATAGAGAAACTTGAAGAGTCTAGGTTAAACATGAAAAGGAATTACCTAATAGAAAATGACTAATATAATATGAAATCTTTCAATACTCTTGAGGCAGAATTCTGGGTACAATTGCTGCTATAATGCATTGCTAAGGGAGAAGATGTAATTTCCTCCTCTGAAGATGCTTAAAAGTGAATTCGATTCTCTTTTCCTTGAGGGCCTTGCTCCCATCTTCTTACATCAGTGCCCAGTATTGAGATGCTCTGGGGGCTAAGAGAGGCGTGCGGTGTGGTCCTCTCAAGGAATTTGCAGCGGCTTTGTATTAGTCACTGCGTTCTGCTTCTGAGACCTGGAGAAGCTGGGACAGACAGGGCATGAATGAGTGTATTTTTGAAAAGCTATCACAACTCTTAAATATTTATGGTAATTATGGGAGCATAAATGGCCTGCGTACCGTCAAGGAAAAGATGCCAGATCTCAGTTTATCCATTAATGGCAACTTCTTTTTGAATGAGCATTTCATGATCAGGATGTCTAGAAAGTATAAGAAGTAGAAAAGTCATTTTGGGATCTTATTTTTAAGATTCTGTCTTAAATTCTAAGGAAGAAATGGTAAGAAACTATGAAATGGCTAAAAGTTGATGGGAATATAGGGAAAAGGGGAAGGGCTGGCTGGGATGGCCCACGGGCACTATATTCCTGAAAATTAAGTAGAATTTGCTGGCTGGCTTGTAGAATTTATGATAACTAACGAGTGTCCCGTTTCTTCTGCCTCTTGCTACAAAACAGTGAGACGGTTTAAGCGGAAGCATCTTCTAGCCATCGACTGCCAACATTTGGCTCGGAGTCACTTGGCTGTGGCCCAGCCCTTCGGTCAAAGATGGACAAACAGAGATCCGAACCACGGTCTCTATCCTAGACCCAGAACAAAAAGAGGGACTAGGGGTATGTCTTCCCAAAAAGTACCTTGCATTTCAGAATCTGTAGTGTATGTGGCCTCTGAATATCTCCCAGGATTTGTAAACATTGCTGCTATGATTTTGTAGTCCTGTTGCAATAGTGTGATGCTTCTTTTCATTTATTTGTGAGTTGACCGTGAAAAGGCCATCCTTATTTACAGTGGTTGATAAAAGCCCCAGGAGAATGTGGCTGCGTGAATTCCATTAGCTTGCTTAATTGTAACGTGGTGGAAGACACGTACCAATATCACCACTGTTCCAGTCCAGACCATTGTGATTTCTTGTCTGTTCAGTGGTCCTCCTTGTCCCATCCGTCACTAGGTCCACTGTATCATTATTTTTCTCCAAAATGTCCCCTGCCCAGTGCTTCTGTGATGGACTCTGCCTTGGTCACTTCGTACCTGGGCTGCTGCGATAACCCTTCTCCTTGCCTTCGGATTTTATTTCTTCCAGTCAACTGGAACCTAGTCATCAAGTTAATATCCTTGAGTACATTTTCTATCACATCGCCTCTATGCTCAGGAGCCCACAGTGAAGTGGTTCCCTGGTGCTATTACGGACTCGAGCTCAAACTTGCCACCACTTGGTATTTATTTGTTACACACCACTTCTCCTTCTGGCAGTTTGGTGTTCTTACTACCCGTCTCTGTGCCAAACGAATTCCTACTTTTGTTAGTATCTGTTGGTATAATCCAGATTGCCTTATTTCCCTGTGATATATCTAATTTCTGAATATATAATTCTGACAGAATCCAACTCAAATCTTACCTAGTTGTTTTAAAGTATTATAATATGTGTTTATCGCTTTCTGGAAGTACTGTAACCAATTGAATGAGGCAGTTTTCAACTTAGTGGGTATACATTGTTTGGTATCTTGTTTGTGTCATGTGTGTAAGTCAGCTTCTCTTCTGTGTTGTCTTTGCCAACGAAGACTTTGCCAGTGTGTGTGTGTTTCAGCGTGGAGTCCTGGCCCAGAGCAGGTCGTGTGTGCTTCATAAATGCTGGTGTGATCAAATTCCACAATTAGAAAATTGCAGAATTTAACCCAGGCCTATTGACTTCAAAACTCTGGGTTTCTATCAAATTGCCCCAGAAGCAGTTATAATTTTTTCCTATGATAGAAAAAGCATGAAATTCTGTAACTTCTCTTAAAAGCCAAACCTGGATTCATTCCACTTTCTTATCTTCCAAAGTGAGAATTCTGGCTACAGCCATTTCAGGAAGGAACCATGTATTTTGTTATATATTGATAAGGTGTTTTAATCCTCCATTGGCATTTTTCAGTAAGTTGTAGGCGTTTAAAAATGCAGCGGTGATGTGAGAAATCACCCTTTGGACTCCCCTAAATGCCTGAAAAATGTGTGAGGGCAGGAAGCACGCACTGTTATGCACCACATGAAGATGTTTCAGTCAAGATGGACCACTTATACCATGGTGGTCCCATAAGATTAGTACCATAGAGCCTACATGTGTAGTAGGGTATACCATCCAGGTTCGTGTAAGTACATCCTGTCATGTTCACACAACAACGAGATCACCTAATGACACGTTTCTCAGAAAGTGTCCCCATCGTTAAGCAACACGTGACTATACCATTCTTCACTTTGTATTTGTCTCAGAATCATAGGTGCTTAGTAAATGCCTATTGAATAAATGTATAGACTAGATTACGTACCTCTATAATAATATGAAGAGAACGCTGACCACCTCCTTTTCATTTTAAAATAAATTAATGTGTCAGCTTCACAGGAGGAGATATAAGTAAATTAAAAGAATTTTAACTTTGTCAGATGAGAAGAGTGGGTTTTACTGACTCCTGATAACCTAAAGCATTTTTCTTTCTGCTGAAGCAAACTCAGATTTTTCATTGTAAGAGCAAGCCAGAAGAGGTTACATTTTCTGAGTGGATCTGTGAACGTGAGCGTTTACGTTTTGTCTGTCCATTCGGGTGTTCAGTTTGTGTATATTGCAAGGTATGATGTGGTCCTCACACCATCTGAAGACTGATCTCTTTCTCTTTTCAAATGTGTGTCTGACTATATGACAGAGCCAAATAAGTATTTTTTGGATTAATCTATTTATATAATCAACTGACCACTAAATAGATCCTGTCTCTTTCCTCTATTAATATAGATAATTGAAAATTAATTGATCTCATATGGCTCAACCAGTCATTTACTCATTTCTAGTTCATTGTGTTTGGGTTCTCTTTACAGGTCAAGGATGTCAAAGACGCATCACTGAATTCTTCCTTGCTGGCCGGCAGCGGTGCACCAATGACATGGCCAAAAGCAATTCTGTGGGCCGGGACAGCTCTAAGGACTCAGAGGGTGAAATGATCTTTGCTGCAGAGAGCAATTGTGCTCTGCCTCAGGAAGGGGATGGAGAAGCAAGGCTGGGCTCATCAGGGTCTGCTCTGCCTGCCAGGAAGCGGTCTCGGTCCTTTGAGGACGAGAGGAATCAGGCTACAGGGACTAGTCATTGGGATGGGGTTTCTAAGAAAACCCCACGGCATCATTTGTCTCTGTCATGCACAAAGCCCACAGAAGCCAGGCAAGAAGCAGAGGACTCTCTATCATGGCTCTCTGCAGAATCTGGAGAATCCAGCCAAGAAGTGGAGGACATTGGTCCTGATCCCATTCCCGACTCTTACTATGGGCTTCTTGGGACCTTGCCCTGCCAGGAACCCCAGAGCCACATTTGTAGCCTGCCCAGTGAGGTCCTGAGGCACATCTTTGCTTTCCTCCCCGTGGAAGATCTCTATTGGAATCTGAGCTTGGTGTGCCATCTTTGGAGGGAGATCATCAGTGATCCACTGGTATGTGAAACGCTTGGAGCTCCATGATGTTTCCTCTTAAAATACACAGATTAGCTTCACTTAATGCATACTTCTGATGATCATGTTTCTTCAGAATTGTGAGCTATAATTGCTTTTTAGTTGTTAGAAGGTTACCTATATGTTTGTGGCCTAATCTGCTCTCTGATTGCCATTGTCTGCATGTAGCTTCCATTTGCCACCAGAATAACATCCAGATTCACTGGAGGCATTTAAGGCCTTCCGTGCTTGTCCCAGCTTATTACTCCAGCCTCATCGCTCGCTTCTCCTCAGCACGTGCCTGTATTCTATCCACAGCAAATGGTTTGCTGCATCCCAACCATAGATCGCGTATTCCTTTCCATATGTTGGTCTAATCCCCACCCCCCAGCCCCATGTAAAGGGCCCCTCATGTCTCTGTTGACGTCTTACCTCTTCTTCAAGGCTTCACTCTGCTCCTTCCCATTTCATCCCCTTGCAGGTATAAATTGTCTGTTAGGAACACTACAGTTTAGAGAGCCTTCCTCCCGTCTTTAAATTATTAGCTCGTCGGTAGAAGGCTGATCCTGTTTGTTTTTGCATTCTCCATTGTGCCTCATGATATTTTACATATAGTAGGTGATTCATAAATGAGTGTCGCGTTGAGTCACCCTGGAGAACCTTTAGAGCTGGATACGGGGGGCAGCCCATGCTCTCAGAAAGGATTTCTCAGTGCTACAGTTAATCATGTCCTTGCTCCAGCACCATGCTCTTCCTTTCCTGTTAAATTATACTTTTTCCCACCCCAAGTTCAGGTTCTCAGGTAAACCTGAAGGCTGGGGGAATGTTTTGGTTACTTTATACATCACTTAGGCTAGCCATTGGGAATAAATCAGAGAGACGGGGTGAACTCTCCCTTCAGCTATATTAAAGTTTAAAAATTCAGGGATGGAGTGTAAGATGGATATATCAAGACTTAGTACGTTTTTCTTCTAAGCACAAAAGGTTTTGGAGGAAATTTCATGTCACTTGTGCTCCATTCTTTGCTTAGGGTCTTGTCTTCTACTTTCTGAGAAATGTCTTTCTGCTTTTAAATGTGAACTGTTTTCTGTATTTCTACCCAAAAAGTTGAGACCTCTCTGATGTGAACTGAATAGTCATAGATGGGGTTAAGTGAGGGTTTTCTCCATTCTGCTTGAGAAAGTTTTTGGGAACATATTCCAGCTTATACTTATCTCTTGAAATGTTAGAATAATGTATCATCACCATCAATGACACGATGTATTTATTTTCAGTAACCTATTATAGCTCTCATTTTCTTTTCATTTCTTATCATGTCTTTGTCTGGCCTTGGTGTAAGGTTATGCTGGCCTCATAGAATAAGTTTAGAAGTGCTCCCTCCTCCTCAGTTTCTTCAGAGTTTGAGAAGGATTGATGTTAATTCTTCTATAAATATTCAGCAGAATTCTCTAGTGAAGACATCTGGTCCTGGGCTTTCCTTTGTTGGGAGGTTTTTGATCACTGATTCAATCTCCCTGCTGGTTATTGGTCTGTTCGGATTTTCTATTTCTTCATGATTCAGTCTTGGGAGGTTGTGTGTTTCTAGGAATTTATCCATTCTTGTAGGTTATCCAATTTGTTGATGTACAATTGTTCATAGTGTTCTCTTGTAATCCTTTTTACTTTTGTGACATTAGTTGTAATGTTCCCTCTTTCATCTTTGATTTCAATTATTGAATCTTCTCTTTTTTTCTTAATCAACCCAAGAGTTGTCAATTTTGTTGAGTTTCTAAAAAACAATTCTTAGTTTCTTTGTTTTTTTTCTATTTTTCTGTTCTCTCTTTCGTTTATCTCTGCTCTAGTCTTCATTATTTCCTTCTGCTAGCTTTGGGTTTAGTTTGTTCTCCTAGTTTCTTTAGCTGTCAGGTTAAGTTGTTGATCTGTGATCTTCCTTCTTTTTTGATGTGAGTGTTTACAGCTATTAACTTCTCTCTCAGCACTGCTTTCACTGCATCCCGTATGTTTAGGGATGCTGTGGTTTTGTTTTAATTTGTCTCGAGATATTCTTTAATTTCTTTATGATTTCTTTTTTGAACCGTTAGTGCTTTTAACAATGTGTTATTTAATTTCACATGTTTGTAGGTTTTCCAGTTTTCTTTCTCCTACTGAGTTCTAGTTTCATTCCATAGTGATTGAAAAAGATACTTTCTAGATTTTCAGTCTTTTCACATTTGGTAAGACTTGTTTTGTGGTTTAGCATGTGATCTGTCCTGGGGAGTGTTCCATGTGCACTTGAGGAGACTGTGTGTTCTGCTGTTGGGTGGAGTGTTCTCTGTATATGTCTTTAGGTCAGTTGGTCTAGTGCTGTTCAAGTGCTCTGTCTCCTTATTGATCTTCTGTCTGGCGGTTCTCTCCACTCTGGAAAGTGGCGGATTGAAGTCTCCTATTACTATTATGTTGCTATTTCTCCCCTCAGTTGTCAGTGTTTGCTTCCTAGATTTAGGAGCTCTGATGTTTGGTACGTTACATTTACAATTATTAGATCTTCTTGGTGAATTAGCCCTTTCATTGTTGTCTGATCTCCTTCTTTGTCTCTTACAATAGTCTTTGACTTTAAGTCTATTTTGTCTGATATTAGTATAGCCACAGCTCTCATACTGTTTAATCTTCATTGAAACTCGGAGCCATTAGTGTCCTGATATTTCAGATATGGAAATTGAATCACTATCTTTCCCAAATTCTATAGCAAGTTAGCGCTGAAACCAAACCAAGACACGGTTCTAGTTTCCAGCCAAAATCTGTGTAATGTTTCTACCCTATTTTCCCAGCTTTTGAATTGCGAGCTATAATTGCTTTTCAGTTGGTAGAAGGTTACCTGTATGTTTGCGGCCTAATCTGTTCTCTGATTGCCATTGTCTGCATGTTGTTTTGGGTTTTTTAAACTATATAGTTCATTCCTTGGAAAAAGCTGTATCATCGATACTTGATGAATGAAGAGCAAGCCGTCAGCAAGGTGGACGGCATCCTGTTGAACTACGGCATAGAGAAGGAGTCCGAGCTGTGTGTGCTGAACCTCATCCGGTGAGTTGCTTTTCTCCTGGGAGGAACACAGTTTCTGAAGACCTTTGACGTATATTATCTCTTATGCTCATTTTTCCCGTGGACTCTGCCGTGGATGTTTTACAGCTACACAGCCACCACTAAATGCTCCCCAAGCGTGGATCCTGGAAGGGCGTTGTGGAGTCTGAGGGATCATCTCCTCCTTCCTGAGGCGGAAGCGTGCGTGCGTCAACACCTCCCTGATCTCTATGTTGCTGCCGCGGTACGTGAACAGGCTGTGGAATTGTTGGGCCGGGCAACCCCTTTTCTCATGGGGAGATAGCGTATTGGTGATTATGTTTGGCTGAAGGTTATCTTAGATTTATTTTCAAAATCTTTGAGGCGTTAATCTTGTCGTTGGTCCCACTAGAGAAATAAAAGACCACATTGTTACAGATTCTTAAATTTGGAAGGAATTTTAAAAAAGCATTTAGTCCAATTTCCCATTCTGTTGAGGAATTCTTGACAGAGGATGGTTGTCTAATCTCTGAACACTTTTTTTTTTTTGAGGAAGATTAGCCCTGAGCTAACATCTGCTGCCAATCCTCCTCGTTTTGCTGAGGAAGACTGGCCCTGAGCTAACATCTGTGCCCATCTTCCTCCACTTTATATGTGGGACGCCTACCACAGCATGGCTTGCGGAGCGGTGCCATGTCCGCACCTGGGATCCCAGCCGGCAAACCCCGGGCCGCCAAAGCAGACTCTGGGCACTTAACCGCTGCGCCACCAGGCGGCCCCTGAACACTTTAGTTAATAATGATTTCTTTATAAGGCAGCGCATTCCATTGTTGACAACTTGGGTTAACTGAAAGGACGAGAGAAATTAAGGGTCTTGCTGCAGACACGTAATGAGTTGATGAGAAGCCAGAAGTAGTCCTCAGTTTCCTGACTCAGTCTTGTGGCTCCTCGTTTAGATCACGGTTTCTCACATTTTGTCTTGGAAGCTGCCCGCAACCTCAGCCTATACTCTGCAGCCAGTGGAGGGTTGGAATCCAGCCATGTGCATTTCTCTTTCTGTCTGTAGTGAAGCGATTGTCGATGATGGTGGAGTGAGTTTTCTTTCACAGGATGGCTGTAGTGAGAGGTGCCTGGAACTTTTCCTTTCTTGGAATGCATTTTTTAACAGGAAGACTTGTCGTAAAGTTAAGAATGATAATGATATATGTCCATTATTGACTGTTTGTATGTTAGTGAACATTTTCTTAGACATTACTAAATGGAGCATACTGTGTCCGTAATAATAATTTTTCAATAATTTACTATTTATTTAACTTAATATTTAATGATTATTAAATAATAATGACATAAATAGTAAATTAACATCTTAATGCCAGGAATTGTCAGTCTTGATTTCCCCCTCTGAAGACTGCTGTCTTCTTTTGTGTCTCCCCCCTGTTGTGCCTCCCAGGTAGGCACCTATCTGAGAGGGAGCTTGTTTTGACTCTGTTGAGTATCTGTGGCCCTGAGAGCTCACGTTGACCTGGAGAGGGGTGGGGTGGAGAGGTGAGAGTATCATCTCCATGCAAGGTCCTATGTTAGAGACTTTATAAACGTTATTTAATTAAGGAAAACTAAGAGCCCAAATCCAAAAGTCCTCAGAAAGGACTCCAAGGCAAAAAAAATGGTTCCCGTTATTTCCCAGATGTCAGGTGGGAAGTTTGCACCCAGTTCAGACAATCTGTAGATGACACCAGGACCCCAGACATGGCTTTCTTCACTGGTTGTCTGAGGTGATCTTTATTAATTATGTTTTGGGTCTTTTCTCCCCTCCCTGGTCCACCCCCCTCCACAGGGGGTCAACGTGTGGGCTCTGGTCGCAGCCATTGTCCTCCTCTCCAGCAGTGTGAATGACATCCAGCAGCTGCTCTTCTGCCTCAGGAGACCCAGCTCCACCGTGACCATGCCAGACATCACTGAGACCTTATACTGCATCGCCGTGCTTCTCTACGCCATGAGGGAGAAAGGAATTAACATCAGCAATCGGTAAAGTGGTGGGAGGAAGAGCAGAGACATGGAGAGAGTGAAAGCTCTAGACTCGCGACAGTGGCAGCCCTGCCTACCGTCCCATCTCTGCCGCTGCCGCTCACCAGCTTTCACATGGGGGTGGGGGGAGCGCATAACACTCCCACTGCTTCTTTATCTGTAAAGTGAAGGTAGTGTGAGGCTTAAGTGTAGCGATGCAGGAAAGAGTGCCCTGCCATTTAAATATGAAGTGCTCTCCAACTGTAAACATCCCTGAGGCAGTTTTGAAGTCCCCTCACAAAAAGAAGTCTCTATTCATATGTGCATACATTTTCCTAGGAAAACATTAGGATTTGGTTCCTCCATTTCTCTCGTTTTGGGGCGAGGATGTGCAGATTGTGGTTAAGTCTTATTTGCTCTGTCACCTTAGTGTGAGAAAGGCCATGGCTGTGGGTTGCCAATTCAGAGGGACCTTAATGGTTTCGCTCATCAGCAGATATCCGCTGGTGACTTTTGAGAGAGATCCATACATTCAGCAAATTTTTGAAGCCCTACTCCACATCAGATACTTTTCCAGGCACTAGGAATGCCCGTGTGAAAGAGCGAGACAAGATTCTTGCTGTTGTGGACTGTGTGTTCTAGTGAGGGGAGGCAGATACTGCCTGAGTAAGTGTGTTAAACAAGAACATGTGAGTGAATGATAAGTGGTGCAAAGAAAAAGAACGGGGGGATGGGCGAGGCAGGTGGGGAACACTATTCTAGATCGGGCAAGAGAAAGCTGCTCTGAGGAAGTAACACTTGACCTGAAACCTAAGTGTCAAGGACAGGCTGGCCGTTTTAAGATTCGGGAGGAGAGCATTTTAGCAGAAGGAATAGGTAATTTAAGGGACCAAAGACAGGAATGAATTTACTATATACAAGGCACAGAAGAAGTCTGGTGTGGCAAGAATGTGGTGAATAAGAGGGAGACTAGCACGCGATTTCAAGAGGTCAACAGCAGCCAGATGAGGGAAGATGTTGTAGGCCCCGTAAGAAGTTAGAGTGAACTCCCAGGTGTGAAGGGCAGCTTTGGAAGGTGCCCGATCCCTGACCTGGAGACAGGCAGCACGATAATGCAGCGGATGCTGGAGAAGCAGAAGTTCCAGAGAGGATTTCCTTTTCTGGAGTTAGTGAGCTCTAGGAGAAACGTGGCTGGTGGCACCAGGTGAGCTGCGGCCCAGTCATCCTGGGTGAGGTTGAAGGATGGAACATTCATTCTCTAAAACTGTGAGAGTGTTTGCTCTGTTTCTGAGTTATGTTTGAATTCAGCATATATAGTTTATGTTGTTTCCCGCTTCATGGCATTGAGGCATGGGGCAAGGAACTTTATGACATAATTTGGACAAGACAAACAGACAAATGATGAATAACATCCTTAAGTGCACATACACATTATCTGCATGTTTACATGGACATAGATGAGGAATGGGGAGGAATAACGATATATTGAGTTTTGTTATGTTTATATATTTCTTCCTGCTTAATCTGGGAGATAATATGACCAGAGATTGAAATGTACTATGAAAGGTGTTTGTTGCATCAAAAAGATTGATGCTGGGAGATTACCTCTTCTCACTCTGGGGATGGGAGCAGTGCACTAAACTGTGGGCGATTGGTGACGTGGGAGATGAGTGTGGGTTCAGTGTGTACACGGAGAGGTTTGGAATGGCTTATGGCGGGATGTGTTCGACTGTGTCCAGTGCCTCTGTTAAGCGCTCTGAGTCACCTTCAGCCCTTCTTGGTGCCGTGGAGGCTGTTTTGTTTTCTAGTCCTTGGTAATCGTATCTTGCTATGCACGTAGCACCCTTCCTTTGGGACCTTAAAAGGTAGGATGTTCTTCAAGCTTCTAGAGGAGTACCACCTCACAAGAAGCAGGGAGCAGAGCAACAGAGGCTCAGAAAGATAAGACGACGACGTTAAGTTGATGTTGAACAATCTCACCGCTAGGAGCAGAGTTTACAAAGTTTGTTTTCAACTGGTCCTTACTGCTTTTGTGATTATTTGTCTCTTAAGGTCACGGCTAGTGCCTCATTCCCCAAAGAGCATGTCCTGCTCCCTCCTTCTGCCCTTGCACACTGGAGCCAGGCGTCTTTCCCAGAACTGCTCTCCAAGAGGGCGTGGGTCAGCTAGGGGTATTTAAATCTTTTCCTGTTTTTCGTAAAGTGATGGTAGGCGTTTTCTTTATAGAAATGGAAAGAGGTCTGAATACATCTGAGGAAAAGTAAGATACAGATTGTGACTTAATTTGAAAATCTCTACGTCTGCCTTTTCCCTCTTAGGATTCACTACAACGTTTTCTATTGCCTGTATCTTCAGGAGAATTCCTCTACTCAGGCCACAGAAGTTAAAGAGGAACCATCAGTTTGGCCAGGGTATGTATATGGATCAATGTTTGCGTGTATGTTTTCTGTTGTCCGTTTTGACTCGTTCTCATACTTAAGGAGAAGTCTTTCGTTTTAACAACTTTATTGAGGTAGAAGTTACATTACATAAAATTCGCTCATTTTAATTGTACATTTCAGTGATTTTTAGTAAATTTACTGAATGTGCAACCAACGTCATAATCTAGTTTTAGAACATTTTTATCACCCTAAGGGGAGGCCTTTCTTGGGGGGGAGTTAAATTTTATTCATCCAGTCTGCCTGTTTGGTTTTTGATAATCCCTTACCTGGTCTTTTCAATTCCTTTCTGTTTTTCTCATTTCTCTTCTGTATTGATTATAGCAAGAAAACAACCATCCGACTTACGCACGAACAACAGCTGATCCTGAGCCATAAGATGGAACCTCTCCAGGTGGTAAAAATCATGGCATTTGCAGGTAAGGGAGCTCTCCATTCCTGGAATAGAGTCGGGTTCCTGCCTGTTATCACTGCATCCCCCTTCTCTGCCACCTGCCAGAGTATCTTCACCTTGATTTATTATCAAATTACTGCCATTGAAAGATCGAAAAAGCAGTTGCCAAGGAATACTTGCTTTTTTTGCCACTTCAGGGAGCATCCACACTGGAGTTCCAGTGAGACAAGTAGTTTATAGGAATTAGTGTGTAGGGTAGATACCACCGGGATTCATCCAGCCTTTCATTTCTCAGTGTATACACTCAGTCACTGATTGCTTATGGAGCAGCAGTGGCGTTAATCTCCCACTCGGAGGGTTTCAGTCGCTCCCTGGTTTCTGTAGGGTGAGGTCTAGAAGGCCCTCCCACCATTTGGCTCTAACCTACATTGCTAAATGTGTTGTCTATGATTCTGCCTCAGTCGGCTATCACACTTACAGTCTCCTAAAGCCCCTGGGAATTCTTTTGTCTGAACCTTTGCTCCTATGATTTTCTCTATCTGGAATTCCTTTCCACTTCTTTTCTGCCCGATATCCTACTAAAAAACAATAACTGTTTATTAAATGCCTGCCATGTGCCCAGCACTGTGTTAATCCTAACAACATTCTGTGAGGTTGGTAAGTTATCTCTAGTTTATAGATAAAAATTCGAAGCTCAGAGAAATTAAAATGACTTGCCCCAGGTTAAATAAGTAATTAAGTGGTGGAGGTTGGATTCAGAGCTGGATCTGTTTCTCTCCAGAAACATGCTTTTTCCCCTCCTGGTCTCCTTCTGTCTTTCCCCCTCCCTCTCTTTCTTTGCCATGCTAGGTTGACTCCCCTCATTTCTGTTTCTTTTTGATGGAGCCTTCTTTAGCCATTTGAGGCCTATGTCATCTCTGAACTCTTTCTGTAACTAATCACCTGTATTGACTGTTCAGTACTTGATTATATAGTAAGAATAGCCACACACACATTTTATAAGTCCTTCTATACTCTGTCATTAATCCTCTAAACAGCTCTGTTAGTTGGGGAAAGAGGTACTGTTTTTCTTCTTTTACAGGTGAGATTTTTTGTTTCCAAATCCATATTCTTTTTCACTCTACTGTGTTATCATTATAGTCTCATTTTGTTCTAATTGTTTCCACTGTGTTGATATTTTATTCCCAACTAGACTGGAATGTAGAAACCTTGTTGTGTGTTTTTAACACACTCTTAGGACTTAGCATACAGCTGAACACATCCTTGGTGCTCAAGAAATACTTATTAAATGAATGAAAGTTGAATAATTACATAATCTGGGCCAGCCTGGTGGTGTAGTGGTTGAGTTCACATGCTCTGCTTTGGTGTCCCAGGGTTCATGGGTTCAGATCTCACACATGGACCTACACACTGCTCATCAGGCTGTGCTGTGGTGGTGTCTCACATACAAAGTAGAGGAAGACTGGCACAGATGTTAGCTCAGGGACAAACTTCCTCAAGCAAAAATAGGAAGATTGGCAATGGATGTTTGCTCAGGACCAATCTTCCTCACCAAAAAAAAAAAAAAAAAGTGCATAATCAAATGAATGGTGGTGAGGTTGGGCAGACAAGAGAGTTCAGAATGGGTCAGGAGAATCCTTGAATCTCATTTTCATGCTCTTGCCATGAAAGCATTAATGACTCCTAGGTGAGGAATAGCTACCATTTATGGAGTTCCTCTGCTGGATATCTTGCTTATCTTTATCCTGCCAGACCCTACAACGTCAATGTTACCCACACATGACTGAGGAGCAAACAGTGAGGTCAAGTGGCTCACCTTTCACTCCTTGGGTAGAACCTGCCAGAGCTGCAATCCCAACCCAGGTTAATCTAGTTTAAAATTGGCTGCTCTTTTCGCTACACCATGTTTTAGTTTTAATCAGTATTGAAAATCTTGTCACTGGGAGCCAGCAAGAGGCTAGATAAGCATGGGTAAGACCTGATTAGGGCATCCTTCAGGACAGTTTCTCCTGATCAGAGGGTCACTTCCTTTCCTCTTGGCTTCCCCAGGCACCGGGAAGACCTCCACCCTGGTCAAATACGCCGAGAAGTGGTCTGAGAGCAGGTTCCTGTATGTGACGTTCAACAAGAGCATCGCGAAGCAGGCCGAGCTGGTCTTCCCCAGCAATGTCACCTGCAAGACCTTCCACTCCATGGCCTACGGACACGTTGGGCGGAAGTGAGCATCGCGTTGCCACCATCATCATGTCTAATTACGGTTTTCCACGTTGTGATCATCACGATCACATATGAACTTACACTGTAACAACACTGAGAAAACTTCATGCTTTTATCTCCATTTACAGGCAGGAAGGATAAAGATAGATTTAGTGATTTGTACTTTTACCCCATAAACATACATTGTTTCCAAACAGCAGTATCTTGCTGAGGGGGGCGTTCTCATTTCTCTGAAATTGAGGCACAGAAAGTCAAAACGACTTGTCTGAAGTTCAGGATATCACCAATCTGATTGATTGGTTTTAGGCTTTCCTTGGAAGGGAGGGCGGGACGGGGAGAAGACTAGGTGGGGGTACAGTGGGCCCAGGTCTCCTGGGGCCCCTGAACATGGCATGAAGCCTTCAAGGAACTCCGAGTGGCCCTCCTGGGGGCCTCTTGCAGGCTGGTCTATGCCTTGGAACAGTTGTATCTGCCCTGAGCTAGTTCATCTTCTGGGTTATTATATGTGACTTCCTGAAAGCCTAATGAAGCCATTTCAAATCATACGTGGACCTCGCTCAATTTCTCTGACTTTTTTTTCCCCCTCAGCTGTATGTGACGCTTAGAGTGACATTGGAGAGAAGGGGGTTGGGAGCAGGGGGGACACTAAACACTGAATTCCCAGTAAAGCCGACTACTGTTCATTTGGGATATGCATTACAGGTACCAATTAAAGAAGAAATTGAATCTCTTCAAGTTAACGCCCTTCATGGTCAATTCTGTCCTTGCGGAAGGGAAGGGAGGATTCATCAGGGCCAAGCTAGTATGTAAGACCTTGGAGAACTTCTTCGCCTCGGCTGATGAGGAGCTGACTATTGATCATGTGCCTATTTGGTGTAAGAACAGCCAAGGACAGAGGGTCATGGTTGAACAGAGTGAGAAGCTGGTGAGTATCCAGGCGTCTTTAGTGTTGGGGATCTGGGAGTGAATGAACAGGGTTGACATGGTACAGTGTTGCATGTGTCTTTCACTTCTTCAGAACTGCCTGCAGGCAGTAAAGGTGGAAGGGAGAGACTGTAGGCCCGCCGTGATGACTGTGAATGGTGCCGTGTCTTCTGTGAAGAACACTCATGAGCATCTCACTTAATCCTCACACTGGTCTTCCCGTTTAACAGATGAGGCACCTACCCAAGGTTTATAAGAGCTTGTCCTTGGGTGTGCTGGACCTAGGATCTAAGGATTGGAAATCTCTTCTGATTTTTATCAAGTCTTCTCAATCATTCACCATTCTTGTTATGAATTAGCTGTCAGTCATAAATCTAGAGAAATAATCCAGCCTTTTCTGGTTCATCAGATGTTGTGCTCTCTGGGTGACGTTCTGTCCCCCGGCTTGGGATGGCCCCAGCTTCTTTCTCGGCACTTGACGTTGTTAAAGGCTGTCGTGGAGGCAGAGGGAGGTTAGGGGTGTGCCGGCTCACGGTGCTGTCATGGTGCCTTTGCTCTGACCTCTGTACGTGGGATGAAAGTGTGACTTCAGGGTGCTGGCTTTTCCAGGGTCTTAAACTGGGAGTTACCATATCACTTGCTTTCTAGAATGGTGTCCTTGAAGCAAGCCGACTTTGGGACAACATGCGGAAGCTGGGGGAATGCAAAGAAGAGGCTTACCAAATGACTCACGATGGTACGAAGTTCCCAAGTCCTTCTGTCTGTTCACTCTGGCTGCTTTAATTACGAGTTCTGACTCTTGCTCCTCCCTTCTTTCAGGCTATTTGAAACTCTGGCAGCTGAGCAAGCCTTTGCTTGCCTCTTTTGACGCCATCTTTGTGGATGAGGCCCAGGACTGTACCCCAGGTGATAAACTATTCAGGACATCAGTAGTCAGATACATAGAAACAGCATCATGATTATGTAAGAGGACATATATGTGCATAAATTGATTATTCTTATTTGTTGTAAAGAGGAGGAGCAAATGATGTTTAGTCATTCAGAAATCCTTTATGACCTGACTTTGGATGTCAACACTTGTCCTTCTCCCCGACCCAAAGCAGATTTATTTGCCTCTAAATGTTTTGCTTAAGTTATTCTTAAAATGTTGACCAAGCGTGGGTCATCAGATGATAGGGACCTAGACTCATGGTGAGTGTGAAAAGGGAGTCAACTTAGAGTGAACAATTTGTGTTGTAACTTTTTCAAGGGGCTACTAGAAAATAGTGTGACTGTGTAGGTCATTTTTGGGCCTTAAGTTATAACATTAGAGAAGATAATTTGCCTCATGTTATATTTGCCTATGTGGTTTCCTATACTCAATAATTTATCCAGGACTGAGATAATCTGCATTCCTAGGATTAGAAATTGTTTCTTGTGTCTAGTATAAAATCGTTTTTTGGACTGAGTGTGCCTGTCTTCCAGGAGAAGACAACTCTTCTTGTCCAGCCTGCCCTGGCTTAGTTTCATGAAAGCGTTTTCATCCTTTGCTGCCTTAAATATGGTTTCTTTTTGCTGTGTGGGCCGGCGTTCCCTCCGATCTCTTACTTTCCCTCTTACTGGTTGCAGCTATCATGAATATCGTTCTGTCGCAGCCATGCGGGAAAATCTTTGTAGGGGACCCACACCAACAGATCTATACCTTCCGCGGTGCAGTCAATGCTCTCTTCACCGTCCCTCACACGCACGTCTTCTATCTCACACAGGTAAGAGCTCTCTTTGCTTCCGAGTCCCCAGAAGCGCATGAGCAAGCGTGATGGCCCCCCACCCTCGTTTCTCAGGGTTTGCCACGTGCCAGGCCCTCTGCAGCAGCTGTCCAGCTCACAGTCTATAGCAAACCCCTGCTTCTAAGCAGTGGGTTCTCCGTCATTCTCAGGGGATCCGCAGAGTCACAACTGTTCTCATAATAGTTATTTGCCTTTTTCACTGTGTTGACATTTGCACTGATGGTGCAAAGCCGGTGGTGGGTAAAACCACCGGTGCCTTCCATGAGTCAAGGCTTCGGCACCACACGATACTATCCATCATTGTATTCTTGACTGCAACACACTCGGAGTTAAAAAAAAGGAAAAAGCAGTCCACATAAGAATGTCCTTGATGATACAGCAAAAGTGAGTAATTTCATTAACCACTGACCCTTCAGCATGTGTCTTTGATATTCCGTGTGAGGAGTTGGGAAGTACGACTAAAGTGGTTCTGCACACTGGCATGTGGGTTGTCTCAAAAAGAGCACTTTTTTGGTTGAGCTGTGAGCTCACTGGCTGCTTTTTCTTGTGGCATTGTTGGTATGTGAAAGAACGGCTGACAGACTGACTCTGAATGAGATGACCTATGACTTCAAGGAAAACAACTGACAAATGTTTGTTGCCAAAGATAAAATTCTTGCTTTGAAGTGAAATCAACATTTTGGAAAACTTGGGGCTGGCCTGGTGGCACAGCAGTTAAGTTCACACGCTCTGCTTTGGTGGCCTGGGGTTCGCCAGTTCAAATCCCGGGTATGGACCTACTCACCGTTTGGCAAGCCATGCTGTGCTAGGCATCCCGCATATAAAGTAGAGGAAGATGGGCATGGATGTTAGCTCAGGGCCAGTCTTCCTCAGCAAAAAGAGCAGGATTGGCAGTGGCTGTTAGCTCGGAGCTAATCTTCCTCAAAAAAAGAAAGAAAGAAAAAAAGAATTTTGGAAAACTTGTGTCTGCCCCTGTGGGCATGACAACTCTTGGTGTCTTTGATTGTCCCAAAAGGCTGTATTAAACATTCCTCCCCTTCTCAATGTATATCCCTGTAAGGCTGAATTTTCTTCCTGTACTTCAACCAAGACGATATATCACAACAGATTAAATGCAGACAGAACTATGAGAATTCAGCTGCCTTCTGTTAAGCCAGGCATTAAAGAGATTTGTAAAACAGTGCCCCTCTTCTTGCTAAATGTTTTGTGTTTTGGAAAATGATGGTTTAAAAACCTGCATTCTCCATGTTATGTAATGGGTTTATCGTTATTTTTACATGAATTAAATTTCTAATATGGTAAATAACGATAGGTAGAACTGATATAAATAAAATTTCCTTTAGCTCCTTAGTAATTTTTTAGAAGTGTGAAGAGTTCTGAGACCAGGAGGTGTGAGAAGCACTGTTTTAAGAAACTCACCTCTAGTTAGAGGACATGAGAGGTGGCGGCTTTTATTCAGGCGTTGTCTGAGTTTTGCTCTGTGGTAGAAAGTCCTGCAGCCTGCTCTGTGACTTTATTCTCTCGAGTTCCTGTCATTGCACGCTCCAGTCATTTAGAGCGGCATCAACTCAGAGTAATTTTTTCTAATAGACTTTTTTAGTTTCAGATTTACAGAAAAATTGAGAAGATAGTACGGAAAGTTCCCATATATACCCAGCATTCAGTTTACACTATTAACATCTTATATTAGTGGAGTACGTTTGCCATAATTGCTGAGCTTGTATTGACACGTTATTAGAAACTAAAGTCCATAGTTTATTGAGATTTCCTTAGTTTTTACCTAATGTCATTTTTCTGTCCCAGGATCTTATTCGGGTCACACCATTACATTTAGTTGTCATTTCTCCTTAGGCTCCTGTTGGCTGTGATGGTTTCTCAGACTGCCCTTGTTTTTGATGACCTTGACAGTTTGGAGGAGTACGGGTCAGGTGTCTGTAGGATGCCCCTGTGTTGCAGTCTGTCTGATGTTCGTTCTCATGATGTTACGGGGTTTGGGGAGGAAGGCTTCAGAAGAAAAATGGTCACTTTCGTCACATGATATCAAGAGCACCTACGGTCAGCCTGATTTAGGACCGTTGATGTTGACCCTGACTGCCTGGCCGGAGCAGCGTTTGTCAGGTTTCTGCACTGTGGAGTTGCTCTTCCCCCGCACCCCTCCTTCCGTAGTGTATGCTTTGGAAGGAAGACCCTGTGCTCAGCCCTCACTCAGGGGTTAAGTGTTGGAGTATCTACATAGCCTATTTGGAATTCTTCTGCAAAGGAGATTTGTGTCTTCTCTCTCATTTATTTATGTCAGTGTGGACTCATGGATACTTATTTATAATTTGGGTTATGGCTCACTCACAGTGGTTCTATTGCAACAAAGTACTATTTGTTGAAAGTCTCATTTTCTGTAGGCTGAGTTATTGATGTTCTCCAAAAGGTTATATAACTGTATTAGCTTAAGTTATCAATACATGGAAAAAGGCAATAAATACCAGGAGTTTGGGCAAGAATGGTGTCTTTCCAGTGGCAGTGGTCAAGGAGGTAGGGTGTTGGGCCGCGTTTTGAAGGGCAGGAAATTATTTTGCTGTGTGCCGAGGCAGGGAGAGTGCACGGAGCCCTCAGGACATGACGATGATGCGTGAGGCTGCTTATGTCAGGCAGTGGTTTTAAATTAATCTTGAGGGAATTTCAAAGGCAAGGGGAGAACCTCCCCCCTTTTAATCTTTTGTAAGTACATTTTACACTTCTTCGTTAGGTTTGATTTGGGAAGAAGGGTAGATTTGCTTAAAAGAAAAGTTTGCTATTGGTCTTGGGGATAAAGGGGGATAAGGCTGTCCAGCTGTGAGGGATCTTGAAAGTGCATGCATCGCCTTTCCATCGTGTATTGCTCTCCTTTTTTGTAGCAAGGGCGTGGCTCGATGAAAGAGTGTGGGTAACAGTCACCTGACAGAGGTACAGGGTGGCAGTGGGAGAGACCAAGTAGGCGAGGCATGAGGTTTTGGTTTCTGAGCTGAGCTGGTAGCAGTGGTAAGAAAAATAGTGTAGAAAATATGGCAGAAGAACCGTCAAGATTTAGATTTGGGGGCAAGAGGTAAAGAAAAATAGGTGACTCTAAGGTTTCAAGATAGAAAATGCTCTTCTGAAAACTTAGAAATAAAGTCAGTAGTTCTTTGCTTGTCACACTCCCGTTCAGTATCAGTGGGTTCACAGTAGGGAATTTCCAAATCTCCTCTCCCGGTCGGGTGAGTCAGGAATGATCAGTTGGGTTTGGCAAGGCCAGGACTTGACAATAGTGAAATGTGTTCACGTACTCCAGGAAGGGGTGTTTACGCCTTTTGTTTTGTTGTTTTCCAACAGAGTTTTAGATTTGGTGTGGAAATAGCTTATGTGGGAGCTACGATCTTGGATGTCTGCAAGAGAGTGAGGAAAAAGACTTTGGTTGGAGGAAACCACCAGAGTAAGGCTTTCAGTTACTCTTATTTGTTACAAAGGTGAGTTTTCCTCTTTATTTGGATCTGCCCTAGAGTCTGTGCTCTCTCCCAAAAGGTGGCATTAGAGGTGATGTCCAGGGGCAGGTGGCCCTGTTGTCCCGGACCAATGCCAACGTGTTTGATGAGGCCGTACGGGTGACGGAAGGAGAAGTACCCGCGAGGATACATTTGATTGGGGTAAGAGTAAATTTCCGTTGACTGCTTCCTGCGCAGAAATGCTGCAGACAGACGTAGCCAATGAAAGTGTTCGACTTCATTAGGATTATTATGCAAGCAAGCATTTGGGTTTTTGACTATTTTCTCCATCTGCGCTGTGACGGAAATCTTTACCCTTGGCCATTCTGGTTAGGCTAGCCAAACTTTCCTATAAAGTCAGACCTAATAAGGACTGAGGATCTTCTCTCCTACTATTTAAAAAAAATAAATGCCCTTCTCATCTTTGACTATGCCAATGAGGCTGCCGGCTCTCTGGAGTGTTCTGGTGTGTGTTGTTCATTAGTGTAAGAACAAGTGACATGACAACACAGCTGGGAAGCGCTCGGGGGCTCCAGTGTAGAAAGTGTGAACACCTGGGTTCTAGCTCTGGTTCTGTCACTAACTTTGTGTGGCTTGCGGCAAGTCACAACTTCTGTGTGCCTCATTCTCTCCATCTCTATGATAAAAATAATGCCTTTCCTTTACCTGTTTCACGGGGAAGTTAGGAGGATTAAGTGACACGTGTGTGGCATTTTTAACTCTTCGAAGCAAAGTTATATGACTAAAACACATTCACTCATTCATTAATGAAAAAAATATTTTTGAGGGCCTACTATGTGGAGACACTCAATAAATAGAGTCAGTGAATCATAATCAAAAGATGTTCTGACTTTTCTCTTTTTTATTTACAAAGATTATAAACAAGTGTCAGAAATTTGGGGAGTTAAAAGGAAAACAAAATCACCCTTAATCTCAGTATTTTATATGATAATTTTCATTTTTGCTAATTATTTATGTCATTGTCCTTATAGATGTATATTTTTACATAATTACAATGATAGTGTACATAAAAATTATGCTACTTTTTACTCAACACACAACCATATTTTCTTTCATGTTGCTGCTTTAATGACTTGACAATATTTTGTTTAGTGGATATAGCATAATTTAACCATTTCATTGTTGTAAGTAAATAGTACTTTTGGAGTGTCATCCATGCTGGGCAGGATATAAAGCAAGTTGTTCTCATTTCCTCTCACATCAGCTCATCGCTTGTAGCATGCATCGTTACACTTGATCATATCTGGTTTCCAGTTTTGACGTATACTGTCTTATTTTGGTCTCTGTTTTATGTTAATATTTTATGTGTCCCTTCCCAAAATGATGATAAATCCTTGGAGCGTGGAGTCTTTGTTATGTGTTCCTTCTTCCTGGGGCTGGGCGCCATGTGAGGGCCGGGGCCCCCAGTCGGTGCTCAGCACATGCTTCTAGGTGGAACTGGGCCGAACGTGGCTACACTCAGCCCTCTCCTCCGGGAGCTAGGCGTTTAAAACATACACTAATCTGGACCTGTAGACAGTCTCTAGTTCTTTCCTCAAGAGAAACGACGGTAAGTATTCATACTCCACACTTTATATTCAGGTGTTATTGTGTTCTTCATTGCAACCATTTTATCTTCCTGGAGGTAGATGATTTAAATTGCCCTTTTTTGACAAGAAAGCAATGCGGAGCTAGTTCTTGCCTTTTTTTAAAGCCAGGAAGAGTTTGAGGTAGCAGCCGAAACTTAGTGCTGGATCGTCGCGAGTTTTCGGGCTGCGTTACAGCCTAGTGCCTCTGTGCTTGATCAAGTTTCCCCGCCTGCTGTCTTTATGGGTGCAGTTTGAGATCCATGTCCAAGCAACCATCTCATTTCAAAATCACATCTCTACATTTGCCTTACTTGGTTTTGTTAAAACAACAGCAAAAACAGAACAAAACAAAAAAACAAAAATCCCACCAAACAACTTTTTCAGGGGATTAAATCATTTGGATTGGACAGAATCATTGATATTTGGATCCTTCTTCAGCCGGAGGAAGAACGGAGGAAACGTGAGTACCCTCCTGGCCACAGTGCAGTGGACGGAAACAGTCCATCACGGGGGTGAAGGATGGGAGAAGGATGGGCTTGTTCTCGTTTTCCTCCTGGAGATGGGTGGAGCTGGCGTTGCTCTTTCCCACCAAGAGTGGGATGCCTGAGGCCTCTTGTTTCAGAGGCACCCATAGCTCTGTCCAGGTCCTTCTCTCAGGAGTCTCAGTTTCTTTCTATCGTTGGTCCCCTAGGCTGTCTTCCCTCACCATCTTTCTGTCTGCCTGGGCACCTTGACACGCTGAAACTTCTCCATGGGCCCCAAATGATCATTTCTAACCTCTCAATAGCGCTCTTCTCGTTACTGCGCTGTTCCACATCCCTGTGAAGTAGGTAAGGATCTCAAGGGTAGGGCTCTTGATCCTCAGTTTGGAGACGGAGAGGCTAAAGCACAGGTCATTTCACTGACTTGCCCAGGAACACACAGCAGGTTAGTGATGTAGTCGGGACTAGAACCCGGATCTCCCAGCTGTAGGACCATTCATTAGGAGTGTGCCGTTGGCTAGGAACGTGGAGCTGCTGCTGCTGTACGTCGGTGTGGCCTGTGTCACGTTAACCTGTATATTTATTCTCCTTAGAAAACCTCGTCATCAAAGACAAGTTTATTAGAAGATGGGTGCACAAGGAAGGCTTTAGTGGCTTCAAGAGGTATGTGACCGCAGCCGAGGATAAGGAGCTTGAAGCCAAGATTGCAGTCGTGGAAAAGTATAACATCCGGATTCCAGAACTAGTGGAGAGGATAGAAAAATGCCATATAGAAGACCGGGACTTCGCAGGTGAGAGGAGTTGTCCCTTCACTTGCCCCAAGGCAGAGGGACACAGGGTCTTCTCGTGCTTCCTGCCTGCATGAGTACCATGTGTGACCCAGGGCGGCACTGTTGCGTTCCTGGCATCGCTGAGAAGAGAGGAGAGCAGAGCTGCCTCTCCTTTGGGGCCCTGTATTTCTGGTCTACCTCCAAGCTGGGGGCACTTTCTAGTCCCAGCTCTGCCACTGTGGGGCTTTGGACGAGCCACTCACCCCTCCTCTGGGCCTCTGTCCCTTCAAGTGTAAAACACAGAGGTGGGTGGGTCACTGAGCTTGGCAGTGTGATGCTCAGGTGGACTAACTGGCCTGCAACTAGTTTTCTCCTTTCCCGTCATGTTTTTATTTCTCTCTCTCTCTCTTTCTGACTGTAGTTTCCCCCTTCCCTCTCTCCCTGCAAAGCTGCACACAGGCAAGAACACATAGTTGAGTTTCAAGAGTCTATTAGGAAGAATAGCCTTTTTCCCCCTCTCTTGTTTCCTTGCCTGTCGAGCCCCTCTAACTGTAGGCTGTGTTTTTATTCCAGAGTACATTTTGGGCACCGTGCACAAAGCCAAAGGCTTGGAGTTCGATACCGTGCATGTTTTGGATGATTTTGTGAAAGTGCCTTGTGCCAGGCACAACCTTGCACAGCTGCCCCACTTCAGAGTCGGTAAGGAGACTGCTTGCCCCGAGGTGCCTCTCGAAGAGCTGCCTGGGATGTTTCCTTTGGACTGCCCTGCTTTCTCTTGGATGGTGTGGCCTCTTGGAAGGATCCTTCTGGAAAAAAGCCCGAAACTCCTAGTCCTAAATATTTTATTCTTATACTTTATTTTTAGAAAAACTGAACTTGCAGGGTCTACGTCTCTCCGGGCTGCCTCCTGGGCAGTTGTGGTGATCGTGGCCCTTTTTAACCTGCGTCAGCTCTTCACCTTTGGGTTGTTCACCCTCAGACGTTGGGTGCCCCAGCCTCATAAAAGCTTCAAAGTGTACAGCTTACCTGCTCACCTAGATGTCTTTTCTTTAATTAACTCTTCTTTTTATTAAAGAGGCCAGAAAATCCTAAAAGGTGAAATAGCAAGCACGCTTCATCCTTTGTCTGCTTTTGTATAAATTCATACTCAAGGCTAGTTGTTGAACTCTAAGCATCAGTGCTGTTGTTTTGGTTTTAAATCTTAGAATAAAACCATGTGAAGTTTTCCCACAAACAAACAAACAAAAGCTCTCTCTTAACCGTGGATTCAAAATTTGGGGCATAGCATACATTGGTGGGCCAAAAAAAGAAATACTAAAAATTCCTTATCGCTGATGAATATATTCATAAAATGAGAGAAAGATACGGGATTGAACATAAATTGGAGTGGAGTGGGGAAAGGAGGTGGCCGTAGAGAGGTACCCACTGCTTTAGATTGGGAAAGAGAAGTTTATTTAATATACTACTGCCTTTTTTTCCTCCTGGTCATTACATGTTTCCATATATATATTTTAGGGGGAGGGATAACAGCTTTACTGAGAGAGAATTCACATACCATCAAATCTCCCCATTTGAAGTGAACAATTTAATGGCTTTTAGTATAGTCAGCATCACCGGCTCTTTATCGAGTTCTTAACGTCATTCTGGGTGTCGTGAATGCGAGAAGAGAGGTGTAAAGCAGACAGTAAAGGCTGCGATGGTTTTTCTTCTCTGGTTGTCCTGTGACATCATAAGACATTTCCAGACTGGACTGAGTGCGAGAGAGAGACAGCGTCAGGAAAAGGGGAGGACGTGGGCTTTGGGCATGGGGACACTTGGGTTTGGCTCCTGCGCTCTTGACCAGCCGTGGCCCATTTGTCCAGGTGACTTCACCTCGGGAAGCCTCAGTTTCCCCATCAGTTCCACAGGGTTGTTGAGAGGAGAACAGGGAGAATGAACAGGAATATGCACCGGGCACGTCACAGGTGTGGGATAACCAGTGAACAGGTTCCCAGGATTTACCAGTCGCAGCACAAACTGAAGCACAGTGTTTTTGTGCCACTAGTCTGTGAGGTTTTTGTTCATTTTGGAGTTGGCGTTTGTAGGAAAATTTTGAATATACAGCCAGCACATCTTGAGTGGTTTTCTTGGGGAAGGAAGGGGGGTGAGAAGTAGTCAGCATTTAGATGAGAACATACATTTTGGCAAGCAGGCCTTTGAGTTGCTCTGGTTTTTTTCCCTTTGTTTAGAGTCGTTTTCTGAGGATGAGTGGAATTTGCTGTATGTTGCAGTAACTCGTGCCAAGAAGCGTCTCATCATGACCAAATCATTGGAGAACATTTTGACTTTGGCTGGGGTAAGAGGAGCCCGTAGCCCAGTTAACTTAACGTTTGGGTTTTATTGGCTTTGAATAAGGGATCAACCCATGGCCTTCGAGCGCCTTTGGTTCAGGATCCTGGGTTGGAAGAGAAGGACTTCTTTCGTGAGTGCACAGAGGCCCATCGCTAGTTCAGGAAGCGTTCTAATCAAAGAACCAGAAACATGGTAAATTCTTTCCTAATTCAATTTTGAAAGTTCTTTTTAAAATATCAACTATGCTTATGTATTTTTTAATTTCTCCCTTGCTCAGTTAGTGATTGACACTCTTAGGGAACAAACAACGAGAATGTTTTCTGCATCTGCACCTCCTGCCTCCCCCTCCCTAGTCCCTTTGAACTGGGTCTGCAGCTGCCACCAGTGGGCTTCTCCGAGAATGCTCGTCCTTGCCGGGGAGCACGAATATCGAGGCCGAGTGCCTCTGTAACTAAAAGTTACTACCCAGTTCATCTTTCCCTGAACTTGGAACCTAGAACTTAAGTTTAACAGTTATTATAAATACACTTTCTTCTTAGCTAACTCCAAAACGTGTCAGATTTTATATAGCAGGATGGATGAGTGGAAGTGCCATATTGCGTGTTCTCCCGAGGAAGTGAGACTGTTCGCAGCGGTGGAACCTCAGCATTACTGCCCGGGGCTTTGAACCTCAGGGTGGCTGGAGGTGTGGGGCAGTAACTGTTCTTTAGTAAATGGTGTTCAGGCTCAGAGGTGTTAGTGGTGGTAAAACAGAGCCCTGATTCTCATAAGTGAACATTGCGTGCCTAACATGTACCAGACTTGCTTCTAGCACTAGAGGTATAATAGTGGGCAAGAGAAATTCCTGCCCTCAGAGAATGTGCACTGTAGGTGGAGAGGTAGACAATAAACGAGTAGACAAATAGGATTTCTTTTGACATTTTTTTTCTCTTTTTTTGGTGAGGAAGATTGACCCTGAGCTAACATCTGTGCCAGTCTTCCTCTATTTTGTTTGTGGGACACTGCCACAGCATGCCTTGATGAGCCGTATATAGGTCCGTGCCCAGGATTTGAACCAGTAAACCCCCGGCCAGGGAAGCGGAGTATGTGAACTTAACCACTACGCCACCCGGTGGCCCCTCTCTTCACATTTTTGAGGAAGATAATAGAGTTTCAAACAGAGAAACTTTGCAGATAAATACTGTCTGACCCATCACAACAGCAAAAGCTTCTTGCATAAGACCGATTGCCTTGCATTTTTATCACACTTTTCTCTTTCGAGCCTCCTTGGCATTTTTCTTCTACACCTTTCTGAGACAGGCTTATTTGGCTATAAGAAAGTTTCTGGAACTTGAAATCCACTGCATGTTCCCCAAGCAGCTTTGTTTCGCCTGGTCCTCCCCACGAGTGACACCTCGCCTAGTGTGACAGCTTATGGGTCAGAACTCGGAACAGAAACCCTTTCTTTGATTGCATCCTTAGTGGTACCCGGGTCACCCAGTGGAGGTTCCAGAGATGACTTAGAGCAGAGCTGTGTACACCGTTTCTGTGCAGGCCAGGCGGTGAATACTTTACGCTTTGCAGGCCATATGATCTCTGTCACATCTACTCAGCTCTGCCGTTGGAGCATGAGAGCAGCCACAGGCAGCTCGTTAACGAGTGAGGTCGGCTGTGTCCCGATAAACTTTATTTGCAGCAGGTGCTGGGTCTGGATTTGGCCCCAGGTTATAGTTTGCGGACCTCTGTTTACAGATAAGTGTGGCTTTTCTTAATCTCTAAACCAGTACCCCAGGGAGTCAAGCAGAGTAATAATTTTTGTGTACAAATAATCTCTACCTTTTACATGAGTTTTGTGTAAATTTTGATCATAAATATTTTTTTAGCCTGTAATATGGTTTTCTCATAGAAATAGTGTTAGGCCAGTGGTTAGATCTATAACAAAACCACATTGTCATGCTGGTAACTTTTAGTGGAGGTATTGTAGAGCAGTAATACCATTTCTCAACATGGGTCAAATAGGATATTTTTTTTAATTTAGGGAAATTTTGAGACATTTAAAAGTTGAGAAAATAATATATTGAATTACCGTATACAAATCACCCCTATATATATTTGGAGTACACATCTCTAAAAAATATGGCCCTTTTTTCCATAACCACAGTGCCATTATCATATCTTAGAAGATTTATAAAAATTCCATGTGGCCTCTACTACCCAATCCATAATCATACTTTTACACTTGTCTCAAAAATGCCTTTTTATAGTTGGTTTGTTCAAATCAGGATCCAAACAAACATTGGGTTGTTCGGTCTCTCAAGTTTCTTAATTTATAGCAATCCAAGACCCCCTCCGTCCTTTTAATGCTCCTGTCTTCTTGTAGACGCTCAGTCAGTTGTCCCACAGAACGTTCCATGTTCTGGATTTGCTTCCTTGTGTGGTTGTGTAACTTGTTCTGCCGCCTGCCCTGGGTTTCCGGTCCCTGGAAGTCAGCCGCAGAGGCTTGCTTAGATTCAGGCCTAACTGCTCTGCAGGAATCCTCCATCTGGGGGTGGGAGGGGGCTTTGCTTTCTGTTGCATCCTATCGGGAGGCAACGAGAGATAGCAACTTATCTCCCTCTTAGTGATGCTAAGATTGTTCACCTTTTTAGTAGACAGAGCTGTGAAATCTATTTTTTTTTTTCCTTTTTAACCATTTTTTTTTTTTATTAATGTTATGATAGATTACAACCTTGTGAGATTTCAGTTGTACATTTTTGTTAGTCATGTTGTGGGTACACCACTTCCCCCTTTGTGCCCTCCCCCCACCCCCCCTTTTCCCTGGTAACCCCTGATCAGATCTCCTTATCAATATACTAACTTCCACCTATGAGTGGAGTCATATAGAGTTCGTCTTTCTCTGACTGGCTTATTTCGCTTAACATAATACCCTCGAGGTCCATCCACGTTGCTGTGAATGGGCTAATTTTGTCTTTTTTTATGGCTGAGTAGTATTCCATTGTGTATATATACCACATCTTCTTTATCCAGTCATCAGTTTCTGGGCATGTAGGTTGGTTCCACATCTTGGCTATTGTAAATAATGCTGCGATGAACATAGGGGTGCAACGGACTCTTGAGATTTCTGATTTCAGGTTCTTAGGATAGATACCCAGTAATGGGATGGCTGGGTCATAGGGTATTTCTATTTTTAACTTTTTGAGAAATCTCCATACTGTTTTCCATAGTGGCTGCACCAGTTTGCATTCCCACCAACAGTGTATGAGGGTTCCTTTTTCTCCACAACCTCTCCAACATTTGTCGCTCTTGGTTTTGGATGTTTTTGCCAATCTAACGGGTGTAAGGTGATATCTTAGTGTAGTTTTGATTTGCATTTCCCTGATGATTAGCGATGATGAACATCTTTTCATGTGTCTATTGGCCATATTCATATCTTCTTTTGAGAAATGTCTGTTCATGTCCTCTGCCCATTTTTTGATCGGGTTGTTTGTTTTTTTGTTGTTAAGCAGTGTGAGTTCTTTGTATATTATGGAGATTAACCCTTTGTCAGATAAGTGGCTTGTAAATATTTTTTCCCAATTAGTGAGCTGTTTTTTTGTTTCAATCCTGTTTTCCCTTGCCTTGAAGAAGCTCTTTAGTCTGATGAAGTCCCATTTGTTTATTCTTTCTATTGTTTCCCTCAACTGAGGAGTTATAGTGTCTGAAAAGATTCTTTTGAAACTGATGTCAAAGAGTGTACTGCCTATATTCTCTTCCAAAAGACTTATTGTCTCAGGCCTAATCTTTAGGTCTTTGATCCATTTTGAGTTTATTTTGGTGTGTGGTGAAAAAGAATGGTCAATTTTCAATCTTTTGCATGTGGCTGTCCAGTTTTCCCAGCACCATTTGTTGAAGAGACTTTCTTTTCTCCATTGTAGGCCCTCTGCTCCTTTGTCGAAGATTAGCTGTCCATAGATGTGTGGTTTTATCTCTGAGCTTTCAATTCTGTTCCATTGATCTGTGGACCTGTTTTTGTACCAGTACCATGCTGTTTTGATCACTGTAGCTTTGTAGTATGTTTTGAAATCGGGGATTGTGATTCCGCCGGCTTTGTTTTTCTTGCTCAGGATTGCTTTAGCAATTCGCGGTCTTTTTGTTGCCCCATATGAATTTTAGGATTGTTTGTTCAATTTCTGTGAAGAATGTTCTTGGGATTCTGATTGGGATAGCATTGAATCTGTAGATTGCTTTAGGTAGTATGGACATTTTAACTATGTTTATTCTTCCAATCCATGTGCATGGAATATCTTTCCATCTCTTTATGTCATCGTCAATTTCTTTCAAGAAAGTCTTGTAGTTTTCATTGAATAGATCCTACACTTCCTTGGTTAAGTTTATCCCAAGGTATTTTATTCTTTTCATTGCAATTGTGAATGGGATTGAGTTCTTGAGTTCTTTTTCTGTTAGTTCATTGTTAGTGTATAGAAATGCTACTGATTTATGCACGTTAATTTTATACCCTGCTACTTTGCTGTAGTTGTTGATTATTTCTAATAGTTTTTCTATGGATTCTTTGGGGTTTTCTATATATAAGATCATGTTGTCTGCAAACAGCGAGAGTTTTACTTCTTCGTTACCTATTTGGATTCCTTTTATTTCTTTTTCCTGCCGAATTGCTCTGGCCAGCACCTCCAGTACTATGTTGAATAGGAGTGGTGAAAGTGGGCACCCTTGTCTTGTTCTGTCCTCAGAGGGATGGCTTTCAGTTTTTGTCCATTGAGTATGATGTTGGCTGTGGGTCTGTCATATATGGCCTTTATTATGTTGAGGTACTTTCCTTCTATACCCATTTTATTGAGGGTTTTTATCATAAATGGGTGTTGGATCTTGTCGAATGCTTTCTCTGCATCTATTGAGATGATCATGTGGTTTTTGTTTTTCATTTTGTTGATGTAGTGTATCACGTTGATTGACTTGAGGATGTTGAACCATCCCTGTGTCCCTGGTATAAATCCCACTTGATCATGGTGTATAATCTTTTTGATGTATTGCTGTATTCGGTTTGCCCAAATTTTGTTGAGGATTTTTGCATCTACGTTCATCAGTGATATCGGCCTGTAGTTCTCCTTCTTTGTGTTGTCCTTGTCAGGTTTGGGGATCAGAGTGATGTTGGCTTCATAGAATGTGTTAGGGAGTACTCCATCTTTCTCAATTTTCTGGAACAGTTTGAGAAGAATAGGTATTAAGTCTTCTCTGAATGTTTGGTAGAATTCTGCAGAGAAGCCGTCTGGTCCTGGACTCTTATTTTTGGGGAGGTTTTTGATTACCGTTTCTATTTCCTTACTTGTGATGGGCCTATTCAGATTCTCCATTTCTTCCTGATTCAGTTTGGGGAGATTGTAGGAGTCTAGGAATTTGTCCATTTCTTCCAGGTTGTTCAATTTGTTGGCATATAGTTTTTCATAGTATTCTCTTATGATCTCTTGTATTTCATTGGTATCTGTTGTGATTTCTCCTCTCTCATTCCTAATTTTATTTATTTGTGATTTCTCTCTTCTTTTCTTGGTGAGTCTGGCTAAAGGTTTGTCAATTTTGTTAATTCTTTCGAAGAACCAACTCTTTGTTTCATTGATCCTTTCTATTGTCTTTTTTGTTTCAATATCGTTTATTTCTGCTCTTATTTTTATTATGAAATCTGTATTTTTGAAAATAAAGACAAAGTCAAGAGTTCATACTGATAATTCCAATCCCAATTTTTTATTTAAACTTTCTGTTGTTCAACAGAACACAAGTATATCAAACAGATGTACCGTTTGCAATTAGGATGAGGTGAGCCTCACCCAGGCCAGGAGACTGGCTATGCCAGCCTTCCCAGACGCCTTCCAGGCGGCCCCTCACAGTCAGCACCCCTCCCTCCCGAGAGCACCTGCCCTCCCAGCTTTTACCACGAGCACTTGGTTACTTTTCTTCATCGTTTTTTACCACCAACAATAGGATCATAAGGGTTTTTTTGGAACCTGTAGTATGGTTTTCTCATAGAAAACAAAACATTCTCATTGACACAAACATTGTCACTGAAAACAAGACATTTTTTGCACACGCTGTCCCCATTCTCCCGGTTTTGTGAGGCCGCGCTGCGTCTGCATTGTCAGGGCCTGTAGCCGTTTACGTTTGTAACTCGTCAGTCGTAGTTCTACAGTCGAATTAAGATTTAACATCAAAGGATTTTTACTTCTTTTACACTTGAATCTTTTCTCTCAAACACTGAAAATCTTGATTCCTAACAGTATTTATTAATTACTTATTTACAATAGTCTACTGTATATAAAAGTTTTAAAATAATACCAATGTTAGTGTTAACAGAAGACTGAATGGAATTTAAGATTTCCTAACAGCTCCATTCGCCACATTCCAGTGAGAATACGTAGTTAAGAGTACCATGTTCTGATGGCACTTGAAATAAGTCCTTTTGATCACCAATTTAATTACAGTCAGATATATTTGTTTGTTCACAGTCCTTACAAGGATTGCATTGCTTCTTTTTGATTGTCTGTTTTGAATTAGAAAATATTTGTTTTCAAAGTCAAAACTTTGTAACTAGTGTATTCAGAGAAGTCTCATTCTTTCCCTGTCCCCTTCAGACTTTCTCTGCCTCCATCATTGATAGCTTTTTTTTAAAATTAGTTTTTGATTTATCCTTCAGTATTTCTTTTTGCAAATATCAGCAAATATGTATGTATTTTTCTATTCTCCTTTTTCACAAAAGGTGACATTGTATATATAATGTTCTGTACCTCACTTTGTCACTGAGAAATATGCATGGACAGCATTCTTTATCAGTTGATAAAGCTCTTTCTCATTCCTTTATACAGCTGATAGTATTCACTGTGTCACTGTATCATGATTTATGCAGTCCCTCACTGATGGATATTGGGTTCTTTCCAATCATTTGCTTTTTTTTTGAGGAAGATTAGCCCTGAGCTAACATCTGCTGCCAATCCTCCTCTTTCTGCTGAGGAAGACTGGCCCTGAGCTAACATCCATGCCCATCTTCCTCTACTTTATATGTGGGACGCCTGCCACAGCATGGCTTGCCAGTCAGTGCCATGTCCACACCCGGGATCTGAACCAGTGAACCCCGGGCCGCCGAAGTGGAACGTGCGCACTTAACCGCTGCGCCACCAGGCCGGCCCCTCCAATCATTTGCTTTTAATAGTAATGCTACAATGCCTAATCTTGTGCACAAGTCATTTTCTTTTTTTTTTTTTTTTTTGCTTGAGGAAGATTAGCCTTAGTAACATCTGTGCCGGTCTTCCTCTATTTTTTTGTACGAGGGACACCTTCACAGTGCGGTTGGTGAGTGAAGCACATCTGTGCCTGGGATCCGAACTTGTGAACCTGGGCCACCGAAGCAGAGGATGTAGAACTTTTCCCCACTCAGCCACGGGGCCGGGCCCAGCCATTTTCGCTTTTGGCCAGTGCGTGTTGGGCATACATTTCTAGAATCTAAATTTCTGGGTAAAGGATAAATCTCTTCACAGAGACTGTAAACCGTATGGAGTCCCACCAGTTATGTATGAGAGTCAAATAGACTTTTGAAAGTTAATTGGAAGCTTATCAGTTGGTGACTGCATACATTTTATGGGGAAATTGAGTTTTTCCCATAAAGAAAAGAAAATGGAATCTAGAGAAATACTTGCGCCTCACTGAGAAAGCCGCGGAAATACGGCCCATTTGTGTGAACGGATGTTTATGAGCCTGGAAGTCCTTCATGAGGAGGAGTGCTTCTCCTTTCTTCTCCGCACCTTATGAATCAGTTTGAGGACATCCTGTTTGAGAAGTGGCTGAGTCCACCCTCCGCTCAGAGAGGAAGCCAGAGGGGATCTTGAAGGCTCTGGGGTGAGGGGGGGTGATAATTTAGGGGGTACAAAAGTAGGTTATGGACGGGAGACTCTGAGAGCAAAGCGAGCCACTGTTTACTCTGAGCATTTGGTCTCCCCTGGAACCAAGAGCAGGGCGGGCAGCCCCCTTAGAAACTCCAGCTAATCACCAGAAGCCTTTTTGTTCCTTTCTTTCTTTAAGTTTTGAGGAAGTGAAGGGATCATTACATTATTGAATTATTAAGTGACATAAAGTTATGCTAGCTGCTCACAGATAGCTTCTCAGTCTCCCAGAAGCTTAGATTCGTAATCCGGATCTCACAGGCGCATCCTTGGAACGGGGCCTGGCAGGTGGTTGGCGCTCCATGAGTGTTTGTCGAGTGGATGAAAGGAGCACCCCGTCCCGTCTGAGGCCAGACACGGCCCGATTGCAAAGACTCCGGATCACACTGCCTCGGTTCACATTCCAGTTCTTCCGCTGGGGCACTTTGTGACGTTGGGCAAGTTACCTCTCACTCTGCACTCCTGTCTCCTGATCTGTAAAGCTGGCGTCACGGCCATGACTGCACCTCGGGGGAGGTGGTTGGAGAAGGCGGTGATGCGCTGATGCAATGACGGCGTTACGGTCCACCGGGGGAAACATAGGGGATTCTCAAAGGCAGTCACCTTTCTTTGAGACCTTGAACTCCAGAAGGGGTGTCAAGGGGAGAACTGGCCTCTGAGGAGGGCTGTGTGGTCACGGCATGCGTGCAGTCACGCATTCAGCAGTCCTCGTGCAGCACTGCACCTGGCAGAAGTGCTCTTGAGTCCTGTGCTTCCTCGCCTCTTAGCTCTGTATGTGGAGGTTATGGAGGAGGAGAGAGACTCACTGTTGCCTGGCGATTGCGAGCACACGCCCTGGACTTAGGCAGGCCGGGTTTGAGCCCCGTGTCTGCTGCAGTCCAGCTCTGCGATCTTATATGTAAGTGACCTCGCTTCTCAGGTCTTGCTCTCTCATCCATGCAGTAGAGACTAGGACAGTGTCGCCCTCGGGAAGTCGTTGGCGAGACTTCCGTGCACAGTGCTGTATTAGCAAAGGAACCAGTGCGTTTAGAAATGAAACAGCCTGGCATCCCATGCCTTTGAATTCCTGAAGGCCAGGGCTTCCACTGAAGCTTTGGGTTCACGGTGCTTTTCCCCCTTGTGATGGTGTTTGCGACAGCTGGTAGTGGCCCTCTGCCAGCACCTGACGCAGTTTGATGCAAGCCCCTTCGCAGTCCCTTGGGTGATGGTGTTTCCTTACAGTTACTGGTCTTCACTCCTGTGAAAGTATTGGACACCTAAGACATCACTAAAAGGGGGGCTAGACTACTTGATGCACGTGTTCATTCAGTGACGAATATTAGATGTCTAGAGCCCCTGTTAGATTCCAAGCACTATAGTTAGTGCTGGAGGTATAGGTAACGAAACCAGTAACGTGGTCTGTGATCTCAGGGAATTTAGTCTAGGAGAAAGCCGTTAGGCGGCTTTAGATCCACCAGCAAGATCTGGGGAGTCGGAGAGGGTGCCACGCTACGTGTCATGTAATCACACCTTGGGACAGATGGACCTTGTCTCTTCTCCACAGCATTGTGTCTCTAAGGGCACCAATGATTGATTGTGTTTTCAAACTAACTGTCTATATAAGAAGATTTATTTTTTTCCCCTTATGTTTGAGATTTTAAAGTTTTGGGGTTTTTTTCTTTAGCTTTTAGAAATTGTTAGGCTGTGAAATGACTCTCATTTGCCCAAATGGGATCCCTTCTCATCTTAAAGATCCTATTAATGAATGGGAAATGGAAGTTCTCCCCGAAGAGGACGTTCAGTAGCCACCAGGATCTTTACTGTGTGGAATTTGATAAACTAACTCTGAAATTTCTATGGCAGGATAATAGTCAAGTTAGGGAAGGACGAGGATGGAGAATTTTGGATGGATATTTGGACTGAGTTTGAAGAGATGTAATTAAAGCCATCTGGTTTTGGTGCAGGAAGAGATGGAGCTCAATGGAAAAGATTAGAGTCCCCGGAAGGTCACATGGGTAGTGGGAGCCTTGTATGTAATAGGGCAGTATTACAGACCGAGAGGAAAATTAGCATTGTCAGTCTGTAGCGTTGGGGTAAAGTTCAGTTCTTAACCTCATATCCTCATAATAAATTCCAACTGGATTAAAGACCTCAATGTGAGAAAAAAAATTATAACTGTTAGAATACCACCTTAGGATAAGGAATTAATAAGCATGACATAAAAATAGGAAATTATAAAACAGGTCAATCTGATTGCATCAAAATGTGCAACTTCAGTGTGATAAAATGATAGCTAACATTTAGTTAACCCTTCAACAACATCCTTTGAGATGCAGTTACTATTATTTTGTCAGTTTTACAGATAAGGAAACTGAGGCACAGAGTAGTTCAGTGACTTGCCCAGAGTCGCACAGGTAGTGAGTGGATGGATGGGGCTGTGAACCTAGGCACTCTGATCCTGGGCCTGTGCTGCTTTGCATAAAGTTAAAAGACCCACCATAGAGTGGAAGGAGTTGCTTTTTTCATCCATTCAGCAGATGCTTACTGAGCGCCAGCTATGTGCTAGCCACTGTTCTAAGGCCATGGCAGTGAGCAAGACAAATCTCTGCTCTCCCGGAGCTTATATAACTGCAGAAAACAGGACTGGCAGTGGTCATAAAGAACCACAAATTCCTAAGGAACAGATAACCTCACGGGTTCTCTCTGGGATGCAGCCTGACAGGGAGAAAAGGTAGAGAAACGTGGGGAAAACCGAGCAGTCAGTGCTTTTCTCTCTCTAGGACTTATATACATCTAAAGAGTGTTTCCAGCTCCTTAGCTACGGGAGTTTCCAAGAAGCATGTGGCAGCGGTGTTGCTGTTATTCTCTTTCTCACCCTTCCCTTCTCAGGAGTACTTCCTGCAAGCAGAACTGACAAGTAACGTTCTGAAAACAGGAGTGGTTCGCTGCTGTGTGGGGCAGTGCAACAATGCCATCCCCGTGGACACCGTGCTCACCATGAGGAAGCTCCCCATCACTTATGTAAGTGGTCTGGGCGGCAGCTTTGGCTTTCTGTAGAATTTAAGGCAGTCATCTGTGTTGTATTGCATGTGAGCTACGTGCTTGTCTGTGGGTGAGGGAGATGACAGAGAAATGTGTATAATCCTTACCAGGGGCTTTTCATAAGGCACAAGCCATGTGTCAAAGATGATATAATTGGAGTCAGAGGGTGTAGCCTAGTTTGGGAGATTTGGTTATGATCGACACTCAGAGAAGTGTTTGCCTGGAGGGCCTGGTTAAGTGTTTCTTGGCCTTCATTCCTGCCTTGGTAAATTCTGGTTTCTGCTCCAGGGGAATTTGATAGAGTTGAGTCTATCTTAGATGATTGTGCTGTGGGAGCTATTCCTTCCGAGGTTCGCGCAGTCTGAACCCATCAGAATGATGATGCAGAGTCCCCTGGCAGCGCTGACAGCAGTTCAGCACTTGTGGGTGGGAAATCCCTGTTCTTTGACCTTTCCCCTTCCCTCTTTTTCTTACCCCTCAATGCAGAGCAACAGGAAGGAAAACAAGGGTGGGTACCTCTGCCACTCCTGTGTGGAGCAGCGCATCGGGCCCCTGGCCTTCTTGACCGCCTCCCCGGAGCAGGTGCGCTCGATGGAACGCACCGTCGAGGACCTCGTGCTGCCCAGACACGAAGCCCTGCTTTTCCTTGTCTTCTGAGAGCCGAGAGGCACATCCTCCACGGTACAGAATGCCTTGTGTGGACCAGTTACTTGAAGAAAGCCAGTGTCGGGTGGTGTTCTCACTGACCTGAGACTCTGAATTCACTCTCAGAGCGTTTTTGAGGAAGACGAAGCCAACCGGAGCTGGACCTGCCCATGTCTCCATCCCCTCTAGGTAGCCAGTTTCCACCGCCCCTCCTCCGTGCACATCCGGCTGGGGACATGGGGATGTTCTTTTGATAAAAAGAAACATTTTATGTATTTAAACTTTTATTACAAGGTTTCAATTAAACAGGCATTGTAGCACTGGCATACCACTGTGTGACACCTGCCTTCAGCCCCGCTGTTTCCAGCTTTCTCCAACTTTCTCTCTCTCTGCTCACTCTTTTCAACAGCCCTGTCACTGTTCACGTGCTACATGAAGCAGAGTATGAGACCTGATGTCCAGGGTGAAAACTGACGCATCAAAAATGAGATTTTCCTGCTGTGGGGACTCACACATGTATAAGATGTAGTGTGTACCTTTGTCGTTATGGAGCTCACAGTTTAAACAGGGAGGCAAGGTAATACCTAAAAAGACAAGCACAAAGTGACAGTCGCTAGACTTACTGTGCTTCCCACAGGTAGAACTGGAGATCGAGGGAAGTGGAGCTGGCCAGCCGCCACGGGGGGAGACGGGAGTGGGTAGAGATGGAAAGTTGGTACCTGGTTCACTGCCTGGGGATGCTGGCTGGATGTTGTGATAAAGCTATTTTTATAGAAACCAGTGAAAAAACTCACACGTCTTAGATGTTCACGGATCTCGTGTTTTCACATTCTTGCCATGCAGCACTTCAGGGACCCAGGTGGCAGGTGGGGGAGCTGGCACGGCATGGCCCGGAGAGCTCACCACATCTAGTCTCTGAGCCCACCCCGCAGAGTCCGAGAGCAGACCTCAGCCTCAGAGGTGGCACTGCCCTGACCTCTCCGCATCAGGCCTCTAGTGCAGGCTGCTGAGGAAACAAGGGTGCTGTTGGATCGGGCCAGGGTGCTCGGAAGGGCGAATGCCAGGGTAATGTCCCCACATGGAGGAAGATTCACAAACGTGGACCTAAAATGGGGGGGGGGAGGGCACTTGAATGAAAAAGGGACGAGGCCGCTTCCTCCATCCCACTGGTGTCCCTGCCTCCCCTCATTTTGCGCTTGTGGATAACTCGGAATAAAAGAGCAAGTGAAAGGAAATTACTTGAATTTGGATTGGCCACAGTACTCAGTGTCCTTCCAAAGAGGAATTGGGAGAGGGGTGGCAAGAGAGAGCTTGTTAACACGCTTTCTGGAAATCGAGTTTTGCCAGCCCGAGAGGAGGCGACTGACTGACTGGAGAACTCATGAACTGACTGAGCCTTCATGAGCAGCTGTTGCGTGGCAGGTGCCGTGCTGGTGGGTCTGTGGAACCCACACATGGTCCCTGACTCCCGGAGAGCGCAGGATGAAGCCTGCTGTAGTTCAGGGTGAGGAGTGTCTGGAGAGAGGGCTGCACGAGTGCGCTGGGGCCGGAGGGCCGTCTTTATCAGAGTAGAGCTCGGAGGGCTGCCCAGAGGGGGTGGTGCTGGAGCTGTGTCTAATAACAGGACGAGCAGTTAGCTAGCTGTTAAGGAATGAGAGAACATTCCACGAAGAAGGAACATGAAGGACAAAAAGGGCATGTGTGGAAACGGCACTACCAGAGCAAAATGTCAGTACTAGTGTTTGGGTACTTATTTTGAAAAATAACAGAATCTAGGAATTAAAACTGGTATTTCATTTTTTTAAGTATTAATTTAAAAAAAATCATTATGACTAAATATTGGTGTGTTTCAAATAGAAACACAATTTAAATACCCAGTAAAAATATAGATTTTAAAAATGAGTGTTAATATCCATTATCATTTTAATGTAACTGATTAGATGAGAAGAATAAAAGTATTACTCAAAAATATAAACTAACCACTGCGTGAAAATGAAAATCTATTAGATCTTTTTGAAAGTATAGTCTTTAAAATAAGAGGCTCCCATGATTTCATTTAGCTGTGAAGCTATTTTTGTGCAAGATTTTCTGTAGAAGTTTTTTTAACCACATAAATTGGGAGAAAAATAAGGAAAATATAAGCTAGTTCCAAATATTTTTCTTTGGTTCAATAATTTTTGAATAATCCCTCTTATTTGATAGCTTAGAGGAGATCTTTTTAAATTCGTTTAAGAATCTGCAATCTATTGATAGCAAGTTCTAGTTTTTTGTTTCAAAGAAAGCATTTCTGATTTGTCTCTGTCTTCTTTGATTTTATCATGTATATAAAGATTCTGACTCAGAGTTACCCACATAAAAATAAATGCTGTTATGTCATATTCCACTTGTTTAGAAAGTATTGAAATAAAATAAAAATTATTCTTGCAATAGAAATGTTAAAATGCCATAGTGTATTGTAGACTATGCCTTAGTTTGTCCTTTCACATAATTATTCTCAAGACATATTTCAGATTTTAGATTTTTTTTTTAAATAATGAGCTGCTGGTATTAGACCAACCTAAAATATTGGTATATAGACATTTTAAAATATCACAGAATACCAGCAATTGAAGTTGCGATCACTAAGGTATGAAACTGTAGAAATGCTTGGGCACAGAAGATGTGTACGTGGCTAGAGTGTGTGCACAGTAGGAGCAGCCAGTGAGGAGCCAGGTAATAAACGGCCTTAAACACTAGGCCAAAAATGAGGAGGAATCATTGAAAAATTTTAAGACATCAGATTTTCTCTTTAGCAGGAACATTTCAGTTGTAGATTGGAGGATGTTTTAAGAAGACAGATAAGTTAAGAGGCTAAGACTTATAATCTCTGCCAGAAATGACAACTGAGGGGCTGGACCAAGGCAGGTGGAGTGGGACTGATGAGGAGGCGATGGATACATAGATTAGTGGTTCTGAAAGTGTGGTCCCCAGACGAGCAGCATCCGCATCACCTGGGAACTTGATAGAAATGTAGATTCTTGGTCCTCATCCCAGATCTACGGGATCAGAAACTGTGAGATCGAGGCTCAGCAGTTGGTATTTCACAAGCCCTACAAGTGATTCCAATGCACACTAAATTCTGAGAACTTCTGCTCTTGAGATTAAGAGGTAGAATCAAAAGGATTTAGAGAACGTTAGATGGGGATGATGAGTCAGTCTAGGAATCCCAGTAGGACCTCTGGTTTTCTGGCTTCTTCTGCAGAGTGATTGAGGGTACCCTTCATTGAGACAAAACGGGAGATGGAGTAGGTTCCTGTAACAACAATGATGAATTTGGTTTTCAACATGTTGAATTTGGGGTGCTTATGAGAAATCCAAGTAGAATTGTCCAGGAGGCTACTGGGGAAACAGATCTATACTTCAGCAGATTGCTTTGGGCTGGAAATAGAGGATTTAGAGTCGTTGGTTAGTAAGAGGTAGTTAAGATAGTCCGGTTGATGGGCTTATTCCAGCATAGCATCAAGAACGGAAAGAGCCGAGGTCTGAGAAGCACACCTGAGGAACACCAGCTGGGGATAAATAGGAAGAGGATTTTGTGAAGAAAGTGACAACTGATTCCAAAAGATAGAGTTGCTACTGAATTAAGAAAGGAAGGTGGTCTTCAGCATCCTGTGCTGTAGAGAGACCACGTAAAATACAGGTGGAGAGGCGTCCCCCTGACTCTCTGAAAGTCAGGGGCCCCCTAGCACGGGCAACTTCAGTGAGGCCGGAAGCCAGGCCGCACTGGGCTCAGCTGTGAGTTGGGGGGCTTCAGGCAATTTGATGGACTAAACATATGTATTTACTTTGGTTGCTTCCTGAAACCATACTAAAATGACAATAAAAGGATTTGTTTTTAAGGCATAAACCCTTAAGGGCAAAAAAAAAAAAAAGAAAAGAAAAGAAAAGAGATGACAGTCACAAAGTTTGGGAAGTTGGGAAGCAGATAAATGATTGATAACTGACTCAGCTCACCTGAGAAAACTGAATCCGAAGCTCTAGAATTCTCAAAAGATGTGGGCATTGATGGCACTGGGTACCACAAGTAGAGGGTAAAGGTGGAGCAAGAAACTGGAGGATTGGTAGAGATTTTGTTTAAAAGCCAGTTAAATCCTCAGATATCCTTTCCTATTCTGTGTAACTGGGCGACTTCTCATCTTCAGCCTAGCATAAGACTGGAGGTTTAATCTCTGGAGAGGACAAAATAGAGGAACATCTCATGTGAGAGACTAGGCATAGCTCACTAAAGGGCAGAGGCCATACTGAAAACAGGGCAACGGTCTAGGTCCCTCGGGCTGCTGTAACGGAACACCACAGACTAGGCAGTTTACAAACCACGGACATGTATTGCTTACAGTTCTGGAGGCTGGAAGTTCAAGATCAAGGCTCAGGCAGATTCGGTGTCTGGTGAGGACCCACTTAGTAGTTCACAGACGATGTCTTCTTTCGGTGTCCTCACATGATGAAAGGGGCAAGGGAGCTCTCTGGGATCCCTTTAATTTGGGCATTAATCCCATTCATGGGGGCTCCACCCTCATGACCTCCTTACCTCCCCAAAGGCCCCACCTCCAAACACCATCACATTAGGGCTTAGGATTTCAGCATACAAGTTTTATACGCACATAAAAACACGCACATACATACATGCACACACGTACACCTGCTGTAGGTGGGAGAGTGACAGTTCCTTCTCTGGGAAATATAACCAGCTTCAGCAGAAGCACTGGCAGTGACATCTAAGGTAATTGGCCAATCTGATTACCCAGTGGAAAGAGCCTACAGTCTTCAAACCCCACCCAAGTGCCCAGAGATTCAAACACATTTTTAGTGCTCCATGCTTACATAGGAGCTGCAAACCAAGGATCGCCAGGCATCTGACAAGATCCTGCAAGATGAAGGTTGGATATCAAAACAACAGAAAAGAACCAACCTGGAAGAAACAGTCTGTGCAGGGAGAAGAAAACATCTAAATATCTTAAATATAGACAGAGAATAAGAGAACATAGTGCATCCGTGAAATAACAAGATCAAAATATATGTAAAAATGTTTGGAGACAGTATAAAAGGAAGAAAAGACCCAATAGAATTGTTGGAAGGAAATGTCAAGAAAATATCCCAAAAGTAGAGCAAAAACAAAGATTGAAAAAAGGAAAGAAGTAGTCAGAACCAATTTGAGCATGGAGTTTCAGGAAGACAAAACAGAGACTGGGAATTTTCTTTTTTTTAATCATGAATATTACCCAGAACTGAATATATGAGTTTCCAGATTGAAATGCTCAGCAAAGTGGATGAAAGTGGACCTACGGTGAGTATATTGTGGTGAAATTTTAGGAACACTAGAGATGAAGATCCTACAAGCTCCCAGAAGGAAAAAAGTCATCTCCAAAGGTCCAGGAATCAAAATGTCTTCAGATTATACAAGAGCAGCACTGTGGAGCTTCACCGTCAAAACTGAGGGGAAATGGGGGCTGGCCCGGTGGCGTGGTGGTTAAATTCACACACTCCACTTTGGCTGCCTGGGGTTTGTAGGTTCAGATCCCGGGCACGGACCTAGCACCACTCGTCAAGCCATGCTGTGGCGGCATCCCACGTAAAATAGAGGAAGATCGGAACAGATGTTAGCTCAGCAACAATCTTCCTCACACACAAAAAACAACAGAAAAACTGAGGGGCAATGATTTCCAACTTAGAATTCTAAAGCAAGCCAAAGAATCAATAAAATAAAGGCATTTTTCACACATAAACATTTGATCTACCACGCAGCCTTTCTCAAGAAGTTCCTGGAGAACCGAAGGACAATAAGGTGATGAGCAAACCCAAGAATGAGGAGGAAGTCCTCTAGGAAACAGACTGTCCAACGGGGGGCGGGGGTGGGGTGGGCATGCCAAATGCTCCTGAGCTTGTCACTAGGATATTTCCATAACGGGCAGAGTGTTCAGGCTGGAGTTAGTGATGAAGACATAGAAAGCTAAGCAAATGGGGTGGGGAAACAAGGCAATTGTTAATTCTTTAATAATTAAACAACAGGTTGTGCTGGGGAGAAAAAGAAACTGTAGTTTACTGCCCAGCTCAGCCACGTATAGTGGTGTTTTCATCGTCTTGACAGTGCCAGCATGTGCATTGGAGGTAGGGAAATGTGTTAACGTGTGACGAGAAGGGGGTTGCTCAATCTTCACCTTCCACAGTACGAAGTCAGTTATCACGTCTGAAACTGAAGAACAGAAGTAGAAGCCAACAGGAGCTTATTGTTTAGAGACGCAGAGAGATACACCAAGACAATCAGCTAAATATTTCCTTTTGGGAGGGGGCACTGGGGACGTGGGGTGCTTTTGGGTAAAAAGCCGTCTATAACTGTTGACTCAAACTCTGTGCCTGTCTGATAAGCCTTGAGAATATGAGTGGGAGGCGAAGAAATGGACATGGTCCACATAGATGAGTGTCAAGGAACGAGGCTGGGAAGAGATAAGACAGTAGATGGGGGATGGTGTGGTGTCAGGGAGAGGAATTCATTTTTTAAGTGCAGCAAATTTGAGAATGCTTACATGTTGAATGGGAAATAACAGAGAAGAGCACTGGAAGATACAGGTGAGGGGGTGGCTGGTTGATAGTGGACTGGGAAGGTTTGGGGCATGAGATATAAAGGAAGCCATGTTAGGTGCACATATAAATGATTAAGGAGAAAGTTTAGGCAGCTCCCATCCAATTATTTTATTTTATTTTTAGGGAAGTCACCAATAAGGTCATCCAGAGGGAGTGGGGAAAGTTTGGAACAGATGTAGAAGAGACAAGTGGAAGCTGACAACACGGGATCGCTGGGCAGTACCAGCCCAGTTGAAATTAAGTCCATGCTGTTGGCTGATGTGTACGTTTCCCTCTAGCTGTCTAGGCGTGGGAGCAGAGAAGACAAATGGTTAGATTCAAACGCAGGTTACTCAACACTAGCGTGGACAGAAGTGCAAGGTCCCGTGTGGGAAGTCATCCTGCACGGAAGCCCAGGGCCCCGTGTGTGTAGCAGGCCATCCTTCATTCCGCCAGTGGTGTCAGGTCTGCCTCTGGGCCAACCGACTGGGTTGAGAAGGGACTTGGACACCCCTGGAATCAGACTACTTATGGTTCACTGCTTTTCCTCAAGCCTCATCTTTGCTATGGGTCCTGCCTAGTCCCCCTAAGCCTCTGGGCTTTTAGGAATGTGGTATATACTGAGAGACCGAAAGCCAGTTACTTTGTATTTCCAGTGAATGGGTACGGTTAAAGCTGGCCTGAGATGACACAGGCCAAGAGTTCCTGCAGACACTGCCCCCAGACAGAGTGTGACCTGACACCTACCCCTTTCTGAGAACCCTTCAGACGCCTTCGCCTCAGGCTGCAAGGGCTTCCAGAGCCTTTGGAGGGGCCTCTCGCTTCCTCCCTGGGCTCCTGAATTACACACTCTCCAGGAGAGCCAGGGGTTGCTGTCCCTCATATTCCTCACCACCGGTGGTTTTAAATATTTTACATTTCTAGTGGCCTGGACCTCTTAAGGTGGAATAGATGGAGGGAGATGGAGCTTCAAACTTAAATGTCTAACTTCTGTCTTACTCTGTTTGATGTCTTAGTACACTCTCAAACTTCACATGTCCAAAACGCAGCTCTTGATTTCTTCCCTCACCCCCAACTGGCTCCTCCCATCGCCCTTCTCCACCTCACGCAAGTTCTGCTGACTTTACCTCTAAAATATCTTGAATCCATCCATTTCTCATCATTATCTTGCCTCTTAGACCAGGTCTCTATCTCATCTCACCTGGCCTATGGCCACATCCTACGGTTGCTCTGCGCTTTCCTCTGGCCCATCTCTTCCATCCTCCATGTGGAAGGACACGCAATCTTAAAATGAAGACTAAATTAGGGGCTGGCCAGTGGCATAGTGGTTAAGTTTGTGCACTCCCCTTCGGTGGCCCAGGGTTCACTGGTTGGGCTCCCGGGTGTGGACATGTGCACCACTTATCAAGCCATGTAAAGCAGAGGAAGATGGGCATGGATGTTAGCTAGGGCCAATCTTCCTCAGCAAAAAAAAAGACTAAATTATGCCACCCTCCTGCTTTAAAACCCTTCAGGAGTTTCTTATTGCAGTTAGAATATTACTCTAACTTGGACTGCAGGCAGAAAACGACCTTTTCTTCTCTGCCTTCCCTAGAAGCTCATCTTTTAAAGGACCTTAATGAAGGTCTCAAAGAAGTACCCAACACAACATCAACATCCTGGATTTATTTCTTCTGTTTTAAATGTCCAATTCAATGGTTCTGGATTTTTTTAAGGAATCATTTTCCTAATATTACATTTTCCTAATCTGGACTTATGGTAAAACAGGTAGTGGTTTTTTTTTTTTTTTTTTAGGAAGATTAGCCCTGAGCTAACATCTGCTTCCAATCCTCCTCTTTTTGCTGAGGAAGACTGGCCCTGAGCTAACGTCCATGCCCATCTTCCTCTACTTTATATGTGGGACACCTACCACAGCATGGCTTTTGCCAAGCGGTGCCATGTCCACACCCAGGATCCAAACCGGTGAGCCCCAGGCCACCGAAGCAGAACATGCAAACTTAACCGCCGTGCCACTGGGCCGGCCCCCACCAGCCGTTTTAAATTCCTACCCTTCCTTTGCTTTTCATGAAACCATCTAAATTGATGACATGAAGAAGTTAATAAGAAATGGCACATTGAGAGTTTCTGGCAGCATGTGACTCAGTTGCTATGCCCATGCCCCACTTCCCAAATGCTTGTGATGACCACCTGGCTACCCCTGGCTGTGTGACAGGGCAGCTGATAGCTGGTCTATGGTCAGGACTGCTCCGTTCCTACCCACCCTCCTCAAAATTCTGTTCAAACTCTGGCACTAATTGAGCCATGTGGTCTCGGGCAAGTCAACTTCTCTAGGCCTCAATTTTCTCATCTATAAAATGAGGAGGTGGGATTAGGCCCATGAATTTAGAAGTAAATGTTATAAACATCAAAGAAGGAAAGAGAAGAACAATGCAGGGAAAGAGACAGTGTGTGTACCAGGTATGGCGTACCTGGGCCATAACCTGCCACTTGTAGCTTCTCACATGGAGACCCTATTAGAAATTCTCTGAAGCTGTGATCCAATCTAGCTTCAGGCAAGTTTTTTTTCTCTTTTTAGAAAGAAAAGCTGAGCTCAACCATTTGGGACTCAGCATTCCTACTCTTTCTCCTCCTTTTCTCTTTGTGCTTACATTTCTCCTCAGCGATTCTTTCAGTGCATTTTTTTATATTGAAAATAGACATTTTATTTTGTTTATACAAGGCACAATTCAAAATATAAATCATATAATATGCAGATATAATAGACAAGGAAGTATAAATATAAATGCATGTCTATAGAGAAACGTCAGAGTTCAGTTTTCTTCTTTCTGAATCCTTACATCAAGAGGATTCATGGGCGCAATATGTCTTTGCTCCCTTTGAATGCAGGCAGAGCACCTAACTGCAGAGTGTTTTTAGGAGCTGAAATGCTGGTGTCATCCTTGTGGACATCTCCCAAGCCAGGAGGAGCCTCGTAGTTCACTTAAAGCCTCAGGTACATTTCTTTTCTTTGTCAACTGTAAGTCAGGATAAGGCCTGGAAGGGATAGTCAAGCAGATAAGCTATCCAGAATTGATGTCATAATGAAATAAGAGCCCTGATGGGAAGACTTGGGGCCTTCAGCCCCTCCCGGGAAAGCTTCATGTGCTGTGACTTTGGGAACTGAGCCCTGCACCTGCGGAAGGCAGGCAGGGCAGGCAGCCAGCATCCATCCCGAGCCTGGAAAGCCTGCTCATGCAGGCGGTGCCCAGGCTGGGCACAGTTGATAAAATGATTCCAGGACGTCTTATCAGCCTGTGGGCTGTTCCCTGGCGCCCAACTCCTTGAGTCTTTTCTAGGTCCTCTTTAGCTAGAGCAGGGTTGGTGCCTTCACCCCAGCCTTTGCTGGCCTCGGTTGTCCCCTGGAGTTTCCTTGGTCATGTGGATGGTTTATGTGTCCTCTTCTCTGCCGCTGGTTCCCCTGGTCATTGGCGCATCTTCCATGTTTTCCATTTCAACACTGGCTGTCTGGGGAGTTGGCCTGTAAAGCAGATAATCCACAGGTTTTGAAAGAGGAGAGGATGGCCTTCGAATTGAGTAAACAGAGAGTTGCTCTTGAACACTCAGATGCAGAAAACCTAGATTGCCTCCATTCACAGACAGTACTTAAATCCTACTTTGGTATTTTTAACCCTCTCATCCACCAAAGATTTACCAGTGCTGTTGGAGCAACTTCCCCAACCTGGCCAACCCTCTGCTAGAAAGCGGCGGTTCAAATGACGGGAACAAGAGAAGGAGAGAGTAACTAGGAGCCTGGCTTGGCCAGACGTGATAATCGTGATAATGATGTCATATTTATAAAGTTTTTTAAAACAGTTCTTGGCACTTAGTAAGTGTTAAATAAACAAATATATCCATCAGTTTCGGAATAACCAAGAGTAGGAGAGGCAAAGGCAAGAACATCTTTAATTCCACATGCTTCGTGTCTGTCACTGAATGACCTGTTTTTTTGGGCCCTGAGTTTCTGGGTCAGCAGTTTCTCCAACAGATTATTTAATCTTTCTCCTAAGGATAAGCAGCTTTTTAAGACATCTTTAAGTAAGCACTTCGAGCTCCTTGGAATGAGAGCTAAACTATAACTCAGGATTCTAGGCTAACATATCAAAAATAATTTGCTAAAAGCCAATTTGTTGAATGACAAATCTACCTAATAACCCATTTGCAAAAAATCAGTTTATGGCAAGAATCAATTCACCAAATGACCAAGTGCTCACAGCTATCAGGTTTACCAGTTATTCCTAAAGATATATTGATGAATATTTCTTTCACATAGTCAGTGAATATTGGTATCGTCCTCTTATGAGCATATTAACCGGCCATATAAACCAAATTTAACAAATTATGTTTAAGAATATATTTTTAATGTATTATTCTTTAAAAGATTTGTGTATATTCTTTTTTAATATAGTCAATGAAGATAGGTATTATAATATCTTAAGAAGATACCTCCAAATTCAACATTTTATGTGGAAATTATTCAGTTATGATGACATTTGGAAAATCCTTTTAAAAGTCATTTTCTATTTTGCCAGCATCTTAGCATTTTTTGGATTGTTTTGATAATTTTTGAGTAATATATCAATCTTAGTTAATTTCTCAACCATTTATGAGGCTCATGGCATTTCTTATTCATTGGGATGGTATTAATGCTTTTGAAGATTTATGTGACTTTTTTTCCTTTTGGCTTTACAGTAGCATTTCAGTAAATGTTCATTTTGTCAAAGTTAGGTTCAAAGGATGGTATAATCTTTATATTGATACTTAGAAAAGATATTTTATAATTAGTAACTAAAAGGTTAGTTTCAACAAATCTGATATCCACTCATCATATAATGCTGGATCCAGAACAATCATATCACTATGGAATGCTGAAATATTGGTTCCTAATTGATAGATGTGCAAAATTAAGGCTAATATGCCATTTGAGGCTTTATTGAAAGTGATAAAAATGCCTAAAGATGAGAAAAATAAACACTGAACTTTCAGCACGTAGCATAAACAATCTTGTCACAAATGGTGACGTAGAATTTCACTTATTAGAAATACAACAGGAAGGCCGACGTGAATGAGTATATTTATAAGAAAGGATATCCATATATAATGAGTACATTCAAGAAGAATATGTTCATGAATATATTGTAAGAACTGAAGCAAACTGCATAACCATCAAATTGGCCATTTGGCACATTCTTTCTGAATTGGGTTTTGGTAAATTGGCCCCATGTCATCAGTTAGGTTCCCACTGCCCCATCTCTGACTACGGCCTGCGAACTGCTTTGGAAAGTGAAGGGCGCCATACGACTGACTCAGTGACTGCTCAGCTCCAACACTCCTTTCGGCTGATATAGAAGGGAGTGAGTGTGAGAGCCTGAGTCTGCAGCCAGGAAAGAGATTCTCTCTTTGAGAGGGCAGGCCTGGAATCATCCTCATGCAGCTCTGGGATGGGAGGGAAGGAAGAATCTTCTCTAGCATGATTCTCCTGTGACACTCACCTTGATATTCTGCAACGTACCAGAAGAAATACTGCACATCCAAAAAGGAGGGCGACAGGTATGGAGACAGCCGCTGTGAAAGAACAGAAGTAAGCTGGCATCGTGCTAAAAGTCTCAGTAGCAGGTTTATTTCTGAGAATCTGAAAATTCTTTACAGTCTACCTTCCAGCAGAGCAAAGCAAACGCCTTCCCACCCCACTTACTGTTATTAATATTTCTTGAGGTGCATGCGATTCAATCTATTCTACTTTTGGGCAAAATGTCTACTCCTTTCCCACCAACGCTGCCATTTTAAACTATCCCGGTTCATGTTATCCCGCATCCCCTGCTCATGGTCCTTGTCCTTCCTGAGCAAAGTGACTTGGGCGATGGGGCAGGGATGGGAGCGAGTCAGGAGGGGCAAGTAAGGGCCTCAGAGATGACAAGCTGGGTGGAAGTATGAGGATGAGGAGGCCACACTTCAGAAGAAGAAATACCTACTGATACATCCAAAGTCAAGAAAAGAGACAGGGCAAGTGTCCTCCTCAGGGATCCCCTGGCACAGCTGCCCCCTTTCCCTCAACTTCACAGAATCCTGATTGAGAAACAATAGCACGCAGTGCCATTTTCCTTCCAATGTCATCATCATCATTTATTTATTTGCAACTTCTTACGGCAGAGGAAGAGTGGTAAGGAGAAAGGAGCGGTGTTACAAGAGGTGTTACAGAGAAGAGGAGAATAAGGTAATGGCTTTGGAAAAGGAAAACCCATGTTCCGACTGAGGGCAAAGGAAAGCACGGAGTGGTGGGAGGGCCTCGGGGCGCAAGGCCAGCAGCCCTGGCAGCCTTTGAGATTTATTAGACAGGAAAGGAAGAGTGGGACCTCCATGTGGAAGTAAGGGGGCTTGGCCCAAGGCCAGGGTGAACATAACTATTTTTAAAACACTTGCGTCAATAATAAGCTGCGAGCAGATTTGGCCAATTTGTCTCAATATTGTAAAATCTCCCTGCGCAAATCACCTAACAGCCCTACGTGCAAGATGACAACCCTGGCCATCTGGGGAACTGTAGACTCATTGTGGACCCTGCGTGACATACGCCTCCTAGACCTGTAAGCTTTTCGGACCTGCACCTGTACAACCAGCACACAACCACATATGCACGGATAAATCTCCTGGGGCCTGGCCTTCAGAATGCACCTCTACTGAAAAACGGCTAAACATAAGGATGTGGGGAAACAGCCAGAGTTGCTGCTGGGTAGGGGTGTAAATGGGTACGGTTTTTTTTCAAGGGCAACTGGCAACATAACCAAAGCTTAGAGAAGACCATACCCTTGACCATCTGATTCCACGTCTAGGAATTTATTCTAAGGAAATGGGAAAATATATATAAGAGTATTCACTGAAGTATTGTTTAAAATAATTTTTTAAATGTTAATCTAAATCTCTTATCAATAGAAAATTGGTTAAATAAAATGTGATGCATCCATAGGATGGAATACTATTCAGCTTTTAAAAATGATGAAGTGAATTGATATTTATTAACATGGAAAGATGTCTGCAATATCTTAAAGTGAAAAAAGCTGGTTGAGATAAAAATCAACGAAAAATAATCTCCAGTAAGCCATGTGGACGTCCACATGCACAGAAAAGTCTTGAAGAATATATACCAAAGTATTCAGTAATGGTGGAATTGTAGATAATCTTTCTTTTTAAAAAAAGTTCGGTAGTTTTGCAAATGATACTGTAATCGGAAGAAACAGTAAAACTATAAAAACAAAACGACCTCTGCCCAAGTCAATACAAATAAGCACAGAAAAGTTGTTCCAGGATAAGTTAACAGAAAACATAGGAAGTTAGTGAAAAATGTTTTGTTTTCAGACTTAACATTAATCATCATTATGACTAAAAAAGCAGAAAATTTTTTAGCAGAGATGTTATACTATTTCTTCACATTGACTAATCAGCTTGGCATGCATTTACTGCACATGGAGAGTTTTATTGGAAAAGGCAAGCTAATGTAAACTATGGTTCCACTTTCACAATACTTCTCTTCCTGTTTCTTTTTAATAACAACAAAAACTCAAGCAAGAAGAGGGCTCCTGAGCCAATGATACAAAATTCAAAGCAATTTGGCTTAAACTCAGACGCTTAGCCTCTTCCTCAACTATATTTAGGCAAATTTAGTAAAGAAATAGAAACTAGAGTCACTAAACAATGGATTCACATATCAACTGCTAAGTTCTCCACCCTTTCGTGTTTCCCAGAAGGTGCCGGGATCAGAGAAAAAGGAAGAGAAAGAGATTTGGTGAGATAGAGCAGAGAGGAGAGCTAGAGTCTGGGAGGAGAAGGAAAAGTGGATTATTGCACAGGAGGCCAGAAGCCAGAACAGCCAGGAGCTCCCTGCCTTGACCTCCACCTACAGTGCCTGTCGGGTCTAAGGCAGAGAAGGCGGCCGAGACAGCCGGTGGCCACTAGTCAATGTGGGTGATGGAAATGTCCTTTGTGGATATACAGGGATTCACCATTCCTTAGTGATACCTGCAAACTAGGTTAGTCAGGGCGTAGTATTTCCGATGTCATTGTGTAGGGGCTTGTGTGCCTGCGACCGATGAAGGCGATTTTGAAGCAAGAGCATCAATTCATATTCCACGTCATGGGCAGTGGTTTCCTTTCTGTCTCTCACTGTACTAAGCACATAGTAAGTGGTGGGTTCAGAGTAGGTACCCAGTAAATATTTAATTGATGGAATTAAAGCGTTAACGTTCCATTAAGTTGAAGGACATTTAAAGTGCCATCTGCTTTTTAATGAGAAATCTGCATTTTATTGCAGCTTAGGACCATACGTGGCACAGGGTACGGACTCAATTTATGTTGAATGAACAGATGAATGATATAATGTAGAGCTCCTGTCAAATGCCGATCACATTAACTACAGCAAGTTTATTTCAGATATGAAAGATGACAGGTTATAATGCCATCCAAAAAATAAACTCCTCACTACTTACCATTTTCTGTTAACTAAAAAAGGCAACTTTTAAAAGTTGTGATAATCATTTATATAACTTTTTTTTCTTGAGGAAGATTAGCCCTGAGCTAACTACTGCCAATCCTCCTCTTTTTTTTTTTTGCTGAGGAAGACTGACGCTGAGCTAACATCCGTGCCCATCTTCCTCCACTTTATATGTAGGATGCCTGCCACAGCATGGCTTTTGCCAAGTAGTGCCATGTCCGCACCCGGGATCCGAACCGGCAAACCCTGGGCCGCCGAGAAGCGGAACGTGTGAACTTAACCGGGCTGGCCCCTATATAACTTAAAAAGCCGAATTATGATATTTGTGGTATCAGTGGGCTGATTAAAAGATTAAGTTAATTAACATTTACTGAGCGATTGCTATGGTAAAGCATCTTTTATATCTTCTTACAAAGATGATCAACTGATTGCTTATTCATGGAGAAATAGCAACACCCACTGATGCCCAACGAGCCAGTGAGCATCTCTGCCACTTGTTCCTGATAGGGGCATACTCTTGGGTCTCAGGTAGCTAGGGTCGTATGTGACATACTTTGAATGTACTAAGTGTTTTAGAAAAGTAGCATGAATTTAATTTTAGTTTAAACCTTCTTAGCAGATAAAAACTTAAGTAATACATGACGAAATCTATCTTTCACCTCTCTGCTGACAGCTAATGGTCGATCTTACAGTTGTTAACATGATTATGCTTGATCAGCCTGAAAGAAGGAAATCTTATTCCTACAACATGAAAGATTGACTTTTTTTAAAAAATCTTCATATTTCCACATTTCCTTGCACAGAGCTATTTTTGTCTACTGGAGCTGCTCAGTTAATGTTTATTACATTACACTTCAGAATTGAGGAGAGCGCCTCTGATATTTTAATCCAGTGAAAGTCATGACCTGAGAAAAACATATTATAGATTATAACCCGTAATAAAATAGTTGCTTGAAAATCTACATAGAAAAAATGGCCCCAAAATTTTAGGTGTAGGATTTTATCCTACAGATATACTTGCCTACATGCAAAATGATATCAGGTTTTCTAATTAATCATTGTTTGTAATCTAGCCAAAGAATGTAAGCAATCACCTATCTAAATAGGAAGTTGGCTACATAAATTGTGGCAAATCTATACAATGGGATATTTTGTAGCTGTTAAGAATGTGGTGGTTTGGGGGTTGGCCGGTGGCACAGCGGTTAAGTGCGCATGTTCTGCTTTGGTGGCCTGGGTTCGCTGGTTCAGATCCTGGGTGTGGACATGTCACAGCTTGGCAAGCCATGTGGTGGTAGGTGTCCCACATATAAAGTGGAGGAAGACGGGCACAGATGTTGGCTCAGGGCCAGTCTTCCTCAGCAAAAAGAAGAGGACTGGCAGCAAATGTTAGCTCAGGGCTAATTTTTCTAAAAAAAAAAAAAAAAGAATGAGGTGGTTTTTATGTATTGATGTGGAAGGATTTCCAAGATATATCATTAAGTGAACAGAAACAAGGTGCAGAACAATGAAAATAACATAGCTAACTGTCTGGCATCCTGTATCCTTCATGTACTATTTACAGATTGACTGTTTCTGAGGGGATACACAGAAGTCTGGCAGTGGGAGTTGCTTCCTTCCTGAAAGCGGATTTTCAGTCAGAGATGGGGCTTTTTACTATAAATCCCTTTTGTAACTTCTAATTTTTAAACCCTGTGCAAATATTACCAATTCAAAAAATGAATAAAAATTTTAAAACTTTGGAGAAAGATTAATGTAGTATGTGACATAAGGAGAAAAATTAGGTTGGCTACCTTATTTATCGGCCACCTCTTAACTGATAAACATATTTTTGTTTCAATGTCCTCATCATTAAATGCCACAGTTTTTCCATGAAAATACTCTCCCGAGAGCCTTTTTTTTTTTTTTTTTAAAGATTTTATTTTTTCTTCCCAAAGCCCCCCGGCACATAGTTGTATATTCTTCGTTGTGGGTCCTTCTAGTTGTGGCATGTGGGACGCTGCCTCAGCATGGTTTGGTGAGCAGTGCCATGACCACGCCCAGGATTCGAACCAAGGGAACACTGGGCCACCTGCAGCAGAACGCACGAACTTAACCACTCGGCCACGGGGCCAGCCCCCTCCTGAGAGCCTTTTTAAAATGTCTTGCCTTTGCATATATATTTTGATAGTTTTTAAAACCATTCTAATCAAGTAACTGCTGATTTGACCACAGCCACTTGCTTTTTTTCCAGTTGACACTTGATACAGATAAAACATAACCACAAAAATACGAATGATTCTCTAGTAGGAAAACTGGTGAACAGAAAGTAGAAATAATATGGGCAATATGAAATTATAGAATTTTTGGCTCATTGAAAACTTGTTGGATGAAGGTATTAGCTTCTTTCTTACTGCTTGCATTTTCCTCTCCCTGCTTCTGTTTTCTTTCTTTCTTTTTCTCTTCTCTCTTCTCTTCTCTCTCTTTTCCTCCCTTCATCTTTTACTTTCATTCTTGCAAATACTTTTCCATTTTCCTATTCACACTCACTGGGACATTTTCTTTCATTTCAGAAGAGCAATGTCATTTTAAGGACAGCAGCACTGAACTTGTGGTTTTCTAATAAGTTCTGGACAAAATTCTAGCCCTGCCTAGTGGAATTGCATAGCCGAACGAGGAGGCCCTTTTTGTCAACTCTCTGGTTTCCACATCAGCAGCCTGACAGTGAGAAGCTACCAATGTTAAGATAAACAGTGATGTTAGAATTCCATAAATAGGGTGATCATGTAACTTATTGTCTAAACAGACACTTTTCAGAGTGAAAGAGGATGCTGTCAGTGACCATGCTGGGAGAGCAAGCATAAACAGTAGGCATAGGGTTGTTTAGCATCCTGGGACTGAGGTCCCCAGAGCATAAACATTGCCAGAACAAAGAAAAATACTCACCAGTCACAACTCTGGAACTATACTGATGTACACCTGCAGAGAAGAGATTGCAGCTTAATCATTGCTTAATTATTAAGGCACGAATTTCTCATTACACAGGAGAATTTCTGGACAATTTGGTTCCCATCTTAAAGCCTTGAGAGATTCACAGCTGGCAAAACCAAACTTGCTTGAGCAAAGAATGAGGTTAATTGTTTTAGACGCAGGGCCACACTTAAGAATCGGCTATGGGGGCTGGCCCCATGGCCTAGTGATTGATTGAGTTCAGCCTCCTCCACTTTCGCGGCCCAGGTTTGCGGGTTCAGATCCCAAGTGTGGACCTACACTACTGATCAGCCATGCTGTGGCAGCAACCCACATATAAACTAGAGGAAGACTGGCACAGATGTTAGCTCAGGGTTACTCTTCCTCAAGAAAAAAAAAAAGAGGAAGATTGGAAATAGATGTTAGCTCAGGGCTAATCTTCCTCAGCAAAAAAAAAAAAAAAAAAAAAAAAGAATCAAATATGCCCTTACAGAAGTTGCAGATTACCAAGAGCTCCCCCATCCCATAGATTGTGACTCCAGATTGCAGAAAGCTTCCTGTGTCCTCCCATATCGGAAGGAGGCAGATGTTATTCAGATTCTTAGCAGAGGCTCTGCCATGCAGGTTAATACAGTGAAGCATGCCACATCTGGAAGATGTACTTTCTTTTCTAGCTGGACTGAGCCAGGGTGGAGCACAGAGAACAGAGACCAGAGCAAGGCAGCTGTGGCAGAGAGCAGGAGGCAGAGGGTTGCTCAGTTGTCCTGACTCTGGATTGGATGGCATAATGCTATGCGGTCGGCTTGCTCGAGGCCTCCACCCACTGCTTAGAAGCAGCACGTGGGGAGCCGACCTCTCCTAAGGTACGCAAAGCCAGCGCTAACCTGGCGTCTCTCGCGAGGCGACGGAGGGAGTGTGTTCCAAGGCTGTTGTCTGAGATGGGGCCTGGGAGGGCTCATGACTGACTACCCCTGTGGTGGCTGCAGAAGGAGATTTTGATGGCATCAGCCTGGAGCCTGGGGTAATAGCTGGCTTTGTGGCCACTGTGGTGTCTGACTTGGAAGTGGAAGCTGGCTCTGTAGAAAAGTGCAAGACATGGAGAGCATCAGTGTTTAGAACAGTGTCTTTTCTCAGCTCCAGGGGAGAGTGGACCTAATACTCACTTTAGTAAGCCTGCCCTGGGCCAGCCCTCCCCCAGCACACTGCTCCCCGGCTCTTCAGGCAAATCCCTTAAGTGGGTAGCCTATTCATCCATCTGGAATGGCCATGGGACTTTTGTGAACCCTGAAGGATTTACAGTTGTTTATCATGGTGCACATAAGTTCAAGACCCCAAAGATTTGGGTAGATCCAGGCTTGTTTACTAGAGTAAGCATGTAAGACATGAGCAACTAATCTCAAAAAATGAGTGCAACTATTTTTTCGCCAAAGACATCTGGGGTGCTGATTTTAGTGGGTTTTTTTACATGTTTGCAGGGAACTTTTGAAATCAGGGGAAGCCTGAGATTCAACCCGTCTGAACTTTACAAAGCGTATTTGAGAAAAAGTGGCCCGGTTTTGCCCCGATCTCAGGGAGGGTGGCTTGCCTTGTGTTTAGGTCCTTATCTTTCCTGTCCCTAAATGGCAAATGGCCGCTCCCAAACTGTAAGGCGTGGCGGCTTGACTTCTCTGTTCTCTTTCCATGAAACGTGGGTTTTCCCTTGTGATAAATACGGTCCTTAGGAAGTGCAGCCCTGGAGGAAGGAAGCAGCAGACCACTGCCATGGTCCCAGCGTCACTGGCTGTCTGACCACAATGCCGGGGGCCGCTTTCTCATGCTCTCCCGGCCACATATGCTGTGAGAAGTCATCCTGCCCTTTAATCCTTGTCACAGCCTCCCACAGACCTAGTACTACCCAGGCTGCTAGCCCTCCAGGCACACTGCAGAGAGAGTCTCCCAGAGCATTCCCAACCAGGTGCCTATGGCCACGTCACCCTGCGTCAAAGATTGCACTCTCAAAGACTCCTGTCAACGGCACAGTTTCGGTTGACCAAGTGTTTAGCACACAAAGGCAGAGCTGGGAGAGGCCATTTGATTATTCTCATCAACTGGGTGAACCAAGTGTGACTTGAATCAAAGGCGTTTTGGAATTACCCCACACTTCAATGGAGCCTGGACCTCAATCTCTGCCTTCTTCTGTGTGTAGTCAACCAACTAACCAGGCGGAAATCTCCTGGCCTCTCCATCCTCCCCTGAGCAGTGGTTCTCAGCCTTGGGCTACCTAAGAATCACCTGGGGAAGTTCTAGAACCCGAATGCCCAGATTGTTCCCCAGACCAACCAGAGTTCCAAGGTGATCTCAGTGCGCATCCAAAGTTAAGAACCAGCGCGCTAGGGGAGGCGTGCCTGAGCAGTGCGGTCAGTGACAGCAGGATGACTGTGCCTGGAGGGCCGGGAAAAGCCACACGCTGGATAATAGGACACAAAAAATCAAGAGTTAAGTGCAAAGTAAGAGTATCACAGGATAAGGGTGCCTTGTCCCAAAAGAGTTAGCATCCAAGATTTCAAGTTTCCTTAACAACAAGACAGTGCTGAGGGAATTGGGATCGACAATTCCCTAAGACTCAGTGGAAATACAGAACATAGGCAGCCTAGTGCCATGCTTTTGTACTACTGCCACCATAGTTAACGATTGTTGGGCGACAATCCTCCTTGGGTCTCACTGTTCCACACGTCTTGCCAGCAGAGATGCTGACGGCCCTTCCTCGGGACTATCTTTTCTAGGATGCTTAAATAGGTTTGAAAGATGAACACAGCGCCTCCCTCTGCAGCAAGAGGCAGCCACGTGCACGCCAATGATAGAAGACTCAGGTTCCCTGAGCTCAGGTTTCCAATCCTGTGAGGCAGCCTGCTGGATGTCCCGGCACCTGTTTAGGCCCATCCGTGTTGCCTCTTTAGGACTTTGGGATGAGAGAATGGATGTGCACATGCCAGTGCTCCTGCTGCCTGCTGTGCCGTGCAAGAAAGTCCTTTGTCTCTGATCTAGGAGCATTGTGTTTCCTCCTGGCACCCATGAAACCCTGGCAGGCTAATATGCAAGGCAGGCGAAACCTCAGACCCTCCCTGGTTCTTGACGAGGATAGGTGTCTACGACTCCGTTTGGTCTGGCATGTTCACACTGGATTTTAAACCATTATTAATTATGCACATACGAAACTTGCATCTCAAGCAACTTTGATTTAAAAGAGGAAATTAAGCTAATATAAATTCTTATTCTTGACTTTAATAAAAAGTGTGTTCTACGATATAAGTTTTCAGGGGAGCTCCAGCGGTGGTCCATGAATCTGAGGGATGGACGGGGACCTTAGTGACAGCAGGGGACAGTTCTTGGAAGGTTTCCAACATTCCTACCTTTTCCAGAAGGGGAGGGGCTCTGTGGCTCTGGGGTCACCCCTGCCGGCACTACTGTGGAGGGTGGCCTTTGGCGAGTCAGGGAGGGGTCTCCTAGAGAGAGGATAACCACACAGCATTTATGATCCTGCGGGTGGAACCTGGGGTGGCTTCAGAACTGGATATGATAAAACATAAGCACGTAAATTTAAAATGGACATACCTGACTTCCTAGGATAGGCCAGAAGCACAAGAAATAAAACAGAATCAGTGTTTCCCAATCTGCAGTTCCCATGCAAATGCAAACACTGCGAACGATTTTCCAGCCTTTCAAGTTAAGTATCAAGTGTCATTTGCTTATGGCTGGAATCATATCAACCCAGTTTTATAATCCTGGCTTTTGCATGGAAAAATAAATGATTACTCCATAGATTCAGGTTTTTTGGCAGAAAAAAAAAATCTTTCAAAGCACAAGAGGTTAGGAAAAGTAATGGCAGGCGTTGTTAGTGGTATAAGGTGGGGAATCTTTGGGCTAGATGAAACCTAAAGATTCCCCCAGTGTTTGGTTTCTAAAAGTCTCTGATTCCAAATCTCCCCCTTCTTTCCCTTCCCCTCACCCACCCTGCTCAGAGCCTACTCCATCCTTCTCCATCCTGGATCCATTCACCCAAAGGAATTGGAACTTTGAAGAAATGGTAACTTTCCCTACAGTGGAAAGCCTTTATCTTTGCCCCTGGATTCCAGGTTCCAGTGGGTCCCCGGACTGGACAGATCCTGATGTCTACTCTGTGTTCTCACCACAGTGTTACTGCTCATACCCATCCTCACCCAGCTCATCACTTCACTGGCACTTGATGTCATGGGGCGCTGTGTCCCCCAGCCAAGCAATTCCTCTGCAACAAGCAGAAGGCTTCCTCCTTGCCCTACCTCTGAGGTCTGCATGACAGTCATGCAGGGGGCGGGGGAAGGGGCACCGGGTGAACTAAACACTGCCAATTCAGGGAGAAAGTCTGCTCTTCAAGGAGCCCTACAGCAGAGTGAGTTGGCTACAGAGCAGCCTCTTTGGGCTGCATCCCCCAGAGAGGAGCTGAGAATTTTCACAGATGTTATATGAGAAAGCATCTAGCCTACAGCTGGACATGCACCAAGTATGCAATAAATGTTTGTTAAATCAGAATTCTCTTGGAAGACCATGAGTTAATCTTGATTTTTCTAGAGTAAAGAGTTCAGTGTTCCTGGAGATAGCACTGTTGGCTTCCATGCCGAGGTTATTTGGCTTCGTCTGGCATGGTTATCCAGTTGTGGATGGTTAAAGAAATTTGATTCTGGTGACCTTCCCTCACACTTGATCTGGAGCCCCCTGGCTAGACACCAGACATGAGTACTGAGCTAAGGGAATGTGTGCTCTGTGGGTGTCCCCAGGTGGTACCAAGAGAGAAGAACAGCAATGATTTCCCTGCAGGCTGTCTCCTAGGGAGAGATCGGGAAAGCTCTTTGGGAAGCAAGCATGCTGTGAGCATACACTCTGGTTTGTAACCAAACTCTTGCTACCATAATCTTAAAGCATTGATAGAAGTAATAGTTAATATTGACCTGATTTCACTTAATCCTCCTACAACCCACAATGTTGACATCAGGTCCATTTTTTAGGTCAGGAACTGAGGATTCCAAGATGTTAAGGCCCTTGCCCAAAGTCTCACGTATGGTAGTGGCACAGCCAGGATTTGAACCCAGAATTGTGTGACCCCAAAGCCAATCTATTTCCATCTCTCGGAGGTGTTGTTTAGAGGCCCATTGGTTTATTTAGCCACAGACCTCAACAGAAATCTCTCGGCTCCTCGAGATGGACTTGTTCACCTTCCCACACTGCAGTTCTGCTCTCTGGATGGCCTTGGTGAGGGGGGTGGAGGGACAGTGCAAGCCGTCTACTTACTGATGCACTTGAGATTGGGAGTTGTCCAGTGGGCAAGGTTCGTGGTCTCGTTAAGCACACACTCAGTCAGGCTGGATGTCCCGGCTTTACGCTTGAAACCAGAGTTACAAATATACCGCTCCTTGGAGCTCAGGTTGTAACTCTTGACCCGGATGTCCGCATGTTCAACAGACGTGGGAGTAGGGCATGTGATACCTGCAAAAGTGCAGATAAGAGGGGAGAAGGGAACAGTCTGTTCAGAGGCATTCTCCAGGAAATACTTGGGTGGTAGTCAATAACTTTATAGCCAGGTTCTGGCTTATCCTAGGGGCCCCTTAGGATCCACCCTAGATCCCAAGCACGTGGGAGATATTCAGTAAGGACACCCATCATCTGGAAGCCTTCCAAGAGCCTTGCCTTACCTGCCAGCCGTCCAGCATAGCTAGAGACTGGGGAGTCATCCACGGAAGCCCCTTCTCCCTCACTCTCCACTCCTGTCAGTCTCAAATCTCAATATGTCTCCAAGATATCCATCTCACTCTCTCTTCTGCCCCACCCCAGACCAAGCCTCTGAGCTCTCTTGCCTGAACAGCAGTAGCGTCTAGATTGGTCTCCCTGCATGCTCTCCTTGCAAACCTTCAGTCCATTTCCACAAGACAGCCAGCATCATCTTTAGAAATGCATATTCGATGACTTTGCTCTTTCCTGGCTGCCTGCTGCTCTTAGAATAAAAACTAAAATCCTTAAGGGGGTCTTTAAGGTTCTGCTGCATCAGGCCCTGCCTGCTTCTCTAGGTACTCTTCCCCCTGGCCACACTGGCCTTTGGTTCATGCCACTCACCAGGCCTGCCTACTCTCCCCTCACCCCACTCTTGGCTGGCCATCTCCCACCATCCTTCCCAGCTTATTTCCAAATCTCTTCCTCAGGAAAGCTTTCCCTCACCGCCACAGTCAGCCAGGTCCCGTGGTTCTGTGTTCTTTCCCTGTATAGTTGCTTTCACAGTTGTATTTAAGCTGAGGATGTAACGAATGTATGTTTCACCATCTGCACTATGAGCTATCGAGCTTAGGGACCACATCTCTTTTGCCCAATACTGTATTCCCTGAGCCTGGTGCAATACCTGGCAAGAGTAGGTGCTCAGGATACACTTGTTCAAAGAACGAATGGATGAATTATCTTCCTCAACACCAGGCTTAAGTCTGGCCTTCCGATATAAGTGAGTTCAATCTATTTCGCTTCTACATGTGTAACTGGCTCATCTGATTCTTCTAATTTTATCGGAAGAAACGAGGGCAAGGTGAATTGCCCCAGATGGCTCTACTTCTGTAATAACTGGAATTGGACTCAGACTCCAAAACCTCAGCTAAAATCCTGGCCATGGGGCTCTAGCTCTGTTCTGTGGAAATAAGTTTCACAAGCGAGTTTCTAAGGGTGTGGGCAAGAAGAAGAGGAGAACTTAAATGTTGGCCATTTCCATTTTGGGGAGGCCATATTTGTTATCAGCTTTTTGTTAATTACTTATGTCCTGATGATATTTCTGCATCCTTGGAAAAATTCCTTTCCTAGGTAAAAACGTGTAACAGAAATGTTAAAGACAACTTGACTTTAATGAGTTGCAGGAGTACTTCAGCCTTTTTTTCTACATTATGTAACAACAAAAACAGCAACAAAATTTGCAAAAAAGAAAAATTAACTTCCCTTTTCACTAGGCAAAAATGAATGAAATTGGTATTATTTATCATGCACCTAATGTAAAATGCTGTGGATTCTGGGAAAGAATCTATTCCTAAGGCCTTGACAACAGTGAAAATAATATACTCCTTGGCACCAATAATATACTCTATGGACCAAAAAGGTCCATGGTTCTTACAAGGTGAGGACCCAGTGAATGTATTTCCTCCAAACCAATATGGTTGGCCTGGGCTTGTTTAAGATGAGGTCCTGTCCAATGCCAGAAAGCTCTATTGCAGCTAAAGCTAAAAAGTAAGATTTTTCTTTAACCACTTGAAACAACTGTTTGATTTTTAGACTCTTTTTCCTATTAATTCAATACAGTATTAGGTTTTCTTGTGTGCAGAGTTGATGAGCAAGAACTGGTTTCTGAGGCCAAGTCTTGCCTGGGGCAGTGGAGGTGGCTGGAAGTGGGCTGTGTTGGAAGGAAAGTCCCACAGAGGAAAATTCCTCTGCAGCATTTTCCATCATCCTGGAGCTTGTAGGGACGTGTTGAGAAAGTGTTGGCCCCCCCACTCCCCCACCCCGCCATTATTAAATTGTGTGTATAAGCTGAGTGATTCACCGGCTGGAGTGCTGGCAAAGGGCAGCAACCAAGGTTATCAAATCAGCTGTGGGCTGCCAACCACTATCTGGGGAGCTGGCTTTTTGGTTCCAGGTCGGGAAACCGGAATAAGTATCTGCTGAGCAGCTGAGACCTCAGCAGGTGAGTTGGGACTCAGCAAGAGAATGGAGTAAACGAACCTTTCTGCCAAGAAGGGCAGACTGAGGGGAGACCAAATATAGTGGCAGTCAGATTCACAGACTGGAGTAGGATGGCCTCCCTAATTGCATCTGTACCAGGAGTCAGCAAACTATGACCCAGGGGCCAAATTGGGCCCACCACCTTCTTTTGTCAATAAAGTTTTATTGGAAAACAGCCTTACTCATTCATTTGTACATTACCGATAGCTGCTTTCACACTACGATGGCAGAGTTGAGTTACTGCAACAGAGACCAGATGGCCCACAAAGTCTAAATTGTTTACTCTCTGGCCCATTATAGAAAAAGTTTGCTAACTTCTGCTCTATGTGGCCTTTAAATGAACCATTGCCCTTGTGACTAAGACCAGTTGCCCAGTGAGCAAGCACAGAACTGGTGCAACCCTCAGAGTAATTGAGGTTGACAAAAGTAATATAGCCTACATAAAAATAAAAACCTTTCCAAATGGCAAAACCCAACATAAGTCAAAGGGCAAATGACAAAATGGAAAAAATGTTGCCCCTCCTATCATATAGGGCTACTTTCTCTCATATGTTAAGAGCTCCTGAAAATCAATAACAAGATTACCAATGCCATGGAAAAAGAGGAAAAAGATATAAACAAGAAGTTCACAGAAAAGAAAGTACAAATGGCTCTTAAATATATAAAAACACTCAATCTCATTCATAAAAAGGAAATATCAAAATAAAACTACATGAGATAGCATTTTGAACTCCCAAATTGCAAAAGAGCCCAAAGTTGATTAAGACCGTTACTTTCATATTGCTCATACAGCTCCTAGACAGGGCACGTTTGCAACCTAAATACATGTGCTCTTTGACCCCACAATTCTGAAGTATTTATCTTACAGATATATCTGCATACCTGTGAAATGTTACACTTCTGCACGTCCCGTTTAACCCAGCAATTCCACTTCTAAGATTTCTAAGACCTTACAGATATACTGGCATATTTATGAAGTGAATATGTAAAAAATGGTTGATTCTAATAGCCAGTATCTTTAAATTGCCTTGTATGTGGTCAGTAAGAGACTAAGTAAATTACAGTGCAGCTGTCCAATGAAAAAGTACTGCCCAGCTCTCTGCAATAGACTAAGGAAGCTCTGTGTGCACTCAAGTGGAAAGATCTCCAAGATAAACTGTCAGGTTAAGAAGAAAAGGAACGGAACACTGTGCATCCTGTGCTACCATCAGTGAAAAAAGAAGAAACAATACCCATACACAATTTTTTGTCTATCCATAACCTCTCCAAAGGGATACACAAGAAACGATTAGTGCTGGAGAGGAGGCAGCTGAGAGAGATGACGGGAACGACCTTTCACGGGACCTTTTCATACCGTGAATTTTTAATGGTGCCTATGTTTGACCTGTTAAAAATGCTTTTGAAAGTTTCTCTAATGCTCTGTTTCTTAAGCTGCTGTGTACACGAGCGTTTATTATTTCTTTTCATGTATTACATATATGCTGGGGTGAAAATCAAAATATTGAACCACCAGTGCCATTCAGATGCTGACCAATCGGAATAGCTGCTGGCATGAACCAGGATCAGGCGGGGTGACCACTGGCCACAGATGAAAGGCCACACCAACGAGGACTGGCAGAATATCAGTCGTGCATATATGTTCTATACTCTTTAAATATACAAAATAATAAAAAGTGGGAGAGGGTATTTTAAAGTACCCTATCACAGGAAATCAGAAACCTTGGTTGAGCCAAGGGCAAGAGAGTGACAAATCTTGCCAAGGTGGGATGTTTAGTGCTTTTATTGGACTATGTCTCCTGCTAAATGAAGGAGAGAAATGCAGGAGATCCTAGAATTAGGAATTTTTGCCTTTCTCTGGACAAGTCAGGGCAGCTTGGGGTAGAATCAAAGCCGAGAAGCTTTGTAAGGACTTCTGGGAGGATTCTGGACATCGTTTTTGGATGACAAGACACAAGTCACTCCCAGCAGACTGTGGATGTGACAAAGTACACGTGGAGTGAAAAATAAGATAGATTTTATCAGAAGAATGTTGCCAAAAGAAGATAAGAGCCAGAGCTAGGATGATTAAAGTTTGCTTTAACCTGTAAAACTGTGTTAAAAATTGCCCCCTCCTTCTAATTAGAAGTTGAAAGGTTTGAATAAGATTTAGACCCTAAGATTTTCTTCGGTGTTAAACTTAACAGCGAAAACCAATGTCCTGGGGCTTGCCCAATCATGTGCATTCATTTCATTTCTCTGGCCTCTCTCTATAGAGAGATGCTCAGTAACTCTGCAGGATAAGCCCCAGAGCTAGTCTAATGGTTTGTTAGCAAGACACCTGGTGAAGTTCTCCATGCTCATATCTGAGTTTAGGAATGTGCCAGGACCAGGCAGTTCTGGTCTGATAGTCTGACGATTTAGCTACCTGAGAGTACTGTGAATGGCCTAACTCCCAAATGGATGAGGCGAGCTCGGTCTGTGTGCTAGGCCTGCAGGGGGATCGAAGCTGGGAAACGCGGGCATCTTCCACAGTCTGTACATCATGGCGAGGATTCTGAATTCTGGAATGTGAACCTCCATCCATCCTGGAAAATGTCTCTGATCTTTACCTGGGTGTTCCGGTGGTGCTGATTTCCTTCTGTATCCTTCAGATAAGTCGATCTTGTTTGATTTACCCCAATAGAATCTGTACCTGGTTTCCAGCAATCTGAACCTTCTCTTGGTTGGGCAGGATCTGGGGTGGGATTTGACTAGCCGTGGGC